TTGATTTGGGATAATAATCATTGCACGTGCCTTGGTTTGTGCTCTTTTTCCGCATCCTTTGCTTTTAGTTAGCTATTTTTCTTGTTTAGGTGTATTTTAATCTTTTAAAACGATTGACGATGCCAATGCCAACGATATTCATTCATTGTAATGTACAACAGACGTGATGTTAATTTCTTTTAGAATTCTTTTTAATTTTTTTAAACATCTCATTTTTTATTTTACTAATGTACATCACTCGTGATCCTTTAGTAGCTTTGGAGTGTTCATCTCTAGATGGACAACTTGTAGATGGCTGTTAGCTATGTTCATTCAAACAACGTACATTGTGGTTTGTCTGTTAGTTTTGCTTTAATTGATTTCTATCGGACAGCTGTTTGTTTCTTACCTTGATATCTTTGGGAAGAATTGCATATCTCATTGAAACTGTTGGATTCTTTACGTTGGTTGATGTGATTTAGCTTGTTGTTTTGCACAAAATGATTTTTGGTTGATATGATTTAGCTTGTTGTTTTGCACAAAATGATTTTTATCAATTTCGTTGATGTTTTCTGTGACTCATTTGAGCTGGTCTTTTTCTTCTGATCCACAGCACAAAATTCTGTATATTTATTTTTGTTATTTATCACTGTTACATCCAAATTCTATTTATACTGATTTCCCCCATTTTTCCTTGAAATATTTCAGGCACATTTGCTTGATGGCAGGGCTAGTGCTGGTGCAAGTGTTGATTCAGCTAGACAAAATTTGGCTGCTACTTTCGTCAATGCTTTTGTGAATGCTGGCTTTGGTCAGGTAAAAGGTGTCCAATTAATGTACTGAGGAAGTGGAATATCACCTTGGATCTTGTTAACATTGGTTATTGTCATTTCAGGATAAGTTAATGACAGCTCCAGCAGATGCAGCCAGTGGTGCTTCTTCAGGAAACTGGTTATTTAAAAATAAAGAGCATGGGAAGATGAGTGCTGCAGCAAGTTTGGTAAGATATCCTTTACACCATTTGTCTTTCCATTTTGTTTAGCATCTGGTTTTGTCTTATCATTTATCTTCATGACCACAGGGTATGATTTTGCTTTGGGACGTGGATGCTGGACTTTCTCAAATTGACAAATACTTGCACAGCAATGATAACCATGTTATTGCTGGTGCTTTGCTGGGAGTTGGTATTGTTAACTGTGCTATCAAGCACGATTGTGATCCTGTGAGTCTTTCTTCATTGTTGTGCAGAATGTTGGGATCCGTTTCATTTTCTTCTGAACCTTGTATTTCCTCTTCTCAGGCATTGGCACTCTTAATCGAATATGTTGACAAAGAAGATGCATCAACCCGAATAGGTGCAATAATGGGGTTAGGCATTACATATGCTGGTACTCAAAATGAGCAGGTTATCCATCTCTCTTCTTTCTCTTTGTAGGTTTAGTGGCTATTAGATTAATGAATTAGCCTTTTGATGATCTTTTTTCCCGCACTGTACACAGTTCAATGACCTTTTCCCCATTCCTAATCGATATTTTTGTATTGTGTATTCTCTCAGCTACGGCGAAAACTGATCCCTATACTAAATGATGCAAGAGCTTCACTTGATGTGATTGCATTCACTGCACTCTCATTGGGCTTGATCTATCTTGGCTCTTGCAATGAGGAGGTCGCTCAGGCAATTATATTTGCATTAATGGATCGAAGTGAATCTGAATTGGGGGATGCCTTAACTCGCCTTCTACCACTTAGCCTTGGTCTTCTATACCTTGGAAAGCAGGTGTGCCAGCATTCTGTTATGAATACATTACTTGTAGTACCAGTAATTATGATTGATTTCCTGTTTGTTCATATTTGACCTTTAACCGAGACTTTAGGCATCAATGTGTTTTGAGGAAATTGCAACTCCTATTTTGTAATTCCCTTCTTTTGGTTCTAACAGGAAAGTGTGGAGGCCACAGCAGAGGTTTCAAAGACATTTCACGAGAAAATCAGAAAACATTGCGATATGACATTGCTTTCCTGTGCGTATGCTGGAACTGGGAATGTCTTGAAGGTAGGCATTTTAGTTTATTAATTTATACACATCGTGCCTGGAATAAAACTTAACTTTCTATTTCTTTCCCACATAGGTTCAAAACCTTCTTGGTCATTGTTCCCAACATCTTGAGAAGGGTGAAACCCACCAAGGGCCTGCTGTGCTTGGAATTGCAATGGTGGCGATGGCTGAAGAATTGGGTCTGGAGATGGCAATTCGTTCATTAGAGCATCTTTTGCAGTATGGGGAGCAAAATATTCGTCGGGCTGTCCCCTTGGCTCTTGGTCTCCTTTGCATTTCAAACCCCAAGGTCAGTGTGATGTTCTTTTACGAGGAACCAATCACGCTTAGATCCATTCTTTAACTTCTGAACTATACAAATAAGTTTTGCCAGCCGGGAAAAAGATAGTAATAGCAAGGGTGATAACTCTATAATTTAATGTAAACAGTTAATAGTAATGTTTAAAGTTTGCTGCAAGCACTCCTACAAAAGGAAGTATGCTGCAAACATGCTAATAAAGAGAAGTATGCTACAAATTCCTACTACTAGCAGGGATGCTGTATAGCCTGTATAGAGTTAAGCTAAGTTTCTTGGTGAGATGGTTTTAAGTGCTGATGCTTTGATGCTAAATTTAATTGTATGATTGGATAATTTGGCCAGGTTAACGTTATGGACACGTTAAGCAGACTGAGCCATGATACAGATTCAGAAGTAGCGATGGTAAGAGAAGAGTTTTTGGCTTAGTTTTGTGTTCTTTCATTACTTTTGTTGAAGTTCAATGTTAAAATTCTTACATGGATGTCACAGGCAGCAGTAATCTCCTTAGGTTTGATTGGTGCGGGAACCAATAATGCAAGAATAGCTGGCATGCTTCGAAATCTTTCAAGTTATTACTACAAGGACGCAAGCCTTCTTTTCTGTGTAATGATGCTTATGCAATTTTTCATTTTGGAGTTCTCTTTCTTCTTTGTGTGAAGAATTAGTGCCTGATCCTTTTGCTTTGAAAATATTTGCAGGTTAGGATTGCCCAAGGGCTTGTACATTTGGGAAAGGGCCTGTTAACTCTGAATCCTTATCATTCTGATCGCTTCTTATTATCACCGTAAGTGACTACTTTGCTGAGAACATCAGATCTGTTGGTTTATCTTTTTGGAAGTAGTTCCATGATATGTCATCTTGTTTTTTGAAGTACATACTCTTCTTTACAGGACCGCGCTTGCAGGATTAATAATTACTTTGCACGCATGTCTTGATATGAAAGCCATCATCCTGGGAAAGTATCATTATGTGCTCTACTATCTTGTCTTGGCAATGCAGGTCAGTTTTAGTTGATTACCTCTCTTGTCATCCTATTTTCTGGTTTTATATTGTTCCCTCCTTTTGACTGTTAAGTATAATGCCCGACAGCCAAGAATGTTGTTGACTGTGGACGAGAATCTCAAACCTCTTTCAGTACCGGTTCGAGTGGGTCAGGCTGTTGATGTCGTTGGCCAGGCTGGTCGTCCAAAGACAATCACCGGTTTTCAAACTCACTCAACCCCGGTTCTTCTTGCTGCTGGTGACAGAGCAGAACTGGCCACTGAGAAGTACTCTAACTACCCCCCATTTAGCTTTTGTAACTGCCTTTTCAACTTTGGTTAATTGTGAGCTAATTCTAGCTATATCTATTTCAGGTACATTCCGCTTTCGCCAATCCTAGAAGGATTCGTCGTCTTAAAGGAGAACCCAGATTACAGAGAAGAACAGTAGTGAGCCGTTGTTAGTAGGAATGGAGAAATCACTTCTGCTTGATACGAGTTCTAACCAGGACGTTGCTGGAGGGCAAAAACTTGATGCAGTTCGGTTGGAGTTTAGTTATGCTTGTCTCAATCCTCATCCAAGCAGTGCATTGTTAGTTTTGATGAGCGCCCGTGGTTCGAATGATGAGATGTGCCTGAATTTGTGATAGTTATATTTCATGGTTAATATGTAGTTCCCCTCGACTCCGGGATCTTTTTGTATTGATTTTCGGGAACAGAAACTCTTCATTTGCTTAGTCTAATTTGATACGATGAGGATGTTCAATCCCACCTTGGAATGGTATGATTGTTACTGACTAGCGTTGCTATGCTTGCCTTGCCATTGTTTTTTTCCCTTGGGACAGTATTTTGGCTGGCTCACTTCTATCTGTGCAAAATTCCTACTAAGAAACGTTGGGGATGGAGATGGGGACTTCTACTTGACTTTGTGGACATTTAGGCCTAATGTGATGTACCTTTCTGATTTTTGTTTATTTATTTATTTTATTAATTCAACAATTGTGGGTGGGATATTCAACCCGGTAATTCTATTGAACTAGATTCGTTTAGATTATATTGAGTGGAAAGATGTTCGAGTATAATTACAAATAATCTCTGGTAGGATGTAGCTCTCTTCAAATTTTAATAAATGGCAAGTAATAAAGTTGATACGTTAATGAATTCATAAAATAGAAATATAATTAATTAATTTTTTGAAAATGTAAATAAACATAGTAATTTGAAGCATATTAATAGTTTAAAATATGTAATTAAAATTTTATTTTTTGATTGGATCGGCAATTTTTGAGAGAGATTACTAATGTGTGTGGTTATTTTTTCAAAATTTTGTATTTTCTAGTATCGTTACAATTACTGAGCGTGAGAAATAGAACATTCCACCTCCTGCAAAGATTGTTGATGAATAGATTGTTGAGTTATGCTAATTTTTCAAAGCTCATGACTAATAGAATTAAACTCTAAAAAGCCATTATAAAGAAATCATACCTTTTCTTTTGAGTTCATTTAATGGAGGAGGGGGGATTAAACCATTTACCAATATGTGCCCTGTGAGCTATGCTCGGACTGGCTCAGAAAAAATTACAAATATGTTCAATTTGGGCCATCCTTAATGTGTTTGGGCCTTTCTCTAGTAAATTGGGCCCATCTCAGGACAGTTGCGCAGGGTTTTACCTTCTTCTTCAACCTTAGTGCTCCATCTCCCTAGGGTTTTTCTCTCTTTCTTCTTCTTACCAACGTTGATTGTTCTATGAACCGGACCCTGCAATTCTGAGTCTTTTTCTTCTCTCTCAAGGATGAAGGTCAAGGTGATTTCGCGCTCCACTGATGAGTTCACTCGTGAAAGAAGCCAAGACCTGCAGGTGATTAGTCCGCGCATATTATACGTGGAAGTTGTTTTAGTTTTCCGGTTGAATTTCTCTCTTGCTCCGAGAATTGACTTTGTTTCACTTCCATTAGAGGGTATTTCGGAACTTCGACCCCAGTCTCCGAACGCAAGAGAAGGCGGTTGAGTATGTCCGTGCTCTTAATGCCGCGAAATTGGACAGGGTAATGTTATGATTTGAAACTTTTGTTTCACTCTAGCTGAGTCGTTGGGAAATTTCGCAAAATTAGTAAATGTTCTTTTGCTTTCAATATTTTAGATGTTTGCAAAACCATTTATAGGAGCAATGGATGGGCATTTGGACTCTGTTTCTTGTATGGGAAAGAATCCTAATCACTTGAAAGGGATATTTTCCGGTTCGATGGATGGAGGTAATTTATTCAACATTTCAGCTGCTAGGTTAGTGTGGTTAGTTTTTTTTTTTCTCTTTGTTTTTGTTCCTGTGTCTGTCACTCGTATAGTTTACAGAGGTTAGGTTGGAAGTTTTCTAAAAAAATTTCCTCTTTTGTGTGTGCGTGTCAGATTCTTGTGGTTTTTGGTAACCTTTCGTTGAGTGTACTGTTGTTGGAACCTCATACAAGAATCTTAAGTTCTAATTTGCAGCAGCTTGTTGTTTCTTGCTTCCAGCATCGAGTCTTTCTACAATTATATATATTTTCCTTTAAAAGTTCATTTTCTGTTTTATCTTCGCCTGCATCATATGGCATTTGATGCGGTGGTGTCGGGGTAGTCAACTGTCAAAATACGTATTTTTTTTTTTTTTTCATTTTTAAGCAGTTTATGTAATATTCATTAGTACTACACTACTATTGCTGCATTCAAATAGTGATATAATTTCTCATGCATTATAGTTGTTTTATTTCTGACTTTATTTTCGTTGTTTTCTTTATGTCCACAGATATTCGACTATGGGATATAGCTAACAGGTAATGCCATTACTGTAATGGGATGGATATCTTCCAATTTTTTGGTGTATGCACTTTTGTATTTTTATCACGACCAAAAAACTTAAGAGATATTCTGTTGTAATTACAAATCCAATAATAAATGCTAACTGCATACATTATAGGCGAACAGTTTGTCAGTTTCCTGGACATCGAGGTGCTGTTCGTGGCTTGACGTCATCTACCGATGGGCGCATTCTGATATCATGTGGAACAGATTGCACGTAAGGCACCATTTTGTAGATGTTCAATTCTTTGTACTGTATAATACTAGGCTGTTATAGTTTTCTACTTGATAACCAAACTTGCTTTGTTTTTTCTTTTCAGTGTCAGGCTGTGGAATGTTCCAATTCCTACTCTGAATTTGTACGAGTCCTCAGATAATTCCTCTGAGGTGGGTCCTTGAGGCTTGATTTATCTGCGAACTTTAATGCTTGAATTCTTTATATTATCCCCAACTAACATTTTGGAAACCATACATTCAGCCTCTGGCAGTTTATGTTTGGAAGAATGCTTTCTGGTAAGGTTCTAAATTTAGACATTGGTGTAGGTAGCTATTTCTTTTGCTTTACATATATATTAGTTTCCTTTGGATTCTGAGTTCATAGTTTTTGTTTTATAGGGCTGTTGATCACCAGTGGGATGGAACTCTTTTTGCTACAGCTGGTGCTCAATTAGATATTTGGGACCACAACAGGTATTTATCAATTAACACCATTACATTTTATTCAGTAATTTATTTTTTCTTTTCATATATTGAAATATTTTTGAAATTTTGTTATAGGTCTCAACCTGTGAGCAGTTTTGAGTGGGGAACAGACTCAGTAATCTCTGTTCGTTTTAGTCCTGGAGAATCCAATGTCCTGGCAACATCAGCTAGGTACGCATGATCAGTCTTGGCTAAACCACCACATGTTTATTTGTATAATACATTATCCAGTTTACCTGGTAATGGTCTATGCATATTATCTGCTTTTTAATTTCTACTAGATTTGTTCTTTTCTATCTCGAGGAGTTCAGGGCTAAAGTTATGTGCTTTCTAATTTCTACTAGATATGCATGTTATGTGCTTTTTAATTTGGACTAGATATGTTGTTATTTATTTTTTTTTCTTCCATTCTTGCTAGACATGAGACGTCAAATTTTTAACCATAAAAAAATTTTAAGCTAATAAGTTCTTTTGTTTTTAGCCCGAGGAGTGAAAGTTACATTGGTAGTTTTGCTTTATGTTTATTCTACTTCTCCATGGCATGAAACTGTAAATATTCAATTAAAAAACATCAAATAGTTGCTATTGGTATCGTGAGGCATTCATGCAAACACACCTTTTCTTTTCCCTCTGTTATTACCTAATGTCAACAAAAACATCAAATTTTATGGATGGCTGAAGTTTTTCGGTGGTTAAATTTATGTAATTATTCATCTGCCTTCATGTAGTGTGGATTTGAACAAGCTCTCTCTATCGTCAGAAAAATAAAAAGGAAAGATTTAGAGCTAGTAGTGGTGTTCTCCGTGTTGCTAATTAGTTCATTTTTTTGCAAAATTTTAACATTGTATGATGAGAGTAATAACCCTCTACGTGGTTCTTTGTATTTTCTTTTAGTGATAGGAGCATTACATTGTATGATTTGCGCATGTCATCCCCAGCAAGGAAAATAATTATGAGGGTATGATGGTGTGAGTTTGTCAAAAGAGTTCCTTGTTTAGAAGAAATTTTTTATCATTGTTTCTTGTATTCTTATGGGTACCTTTTTTGTGACAGACAAAGACAAATTCTATTTGTTGGAATCCAAGGGAGCCAATGAACTTCACTGCTGTAAGCACATGAATGGAACTTATTGTTGTCTAAGTTTTTGCTCATATTGCTTACATCATCATACATTCGATATGATAATAAAATCTTTCTTTCTTGTAATGTGTAGTAAATTGATTAGAGCATACCTGATTATTGAGTATTTTACCAGGACTTTAGATTTTCTATCTAGTATCTATGCAATAGTACTTTGTTCCCTTCAGCATGGTGCCTCTTACTTTATGCATTCCAGGCAAATGAAGACTGCAACTGTTATAGCTACGATTCTAGGAAACTCGATGAGGCAAAATGTGTGCACAGAGACCATGTTTCTGCAGTGTAAGATACAGACTTGTGATTTTAGTTTATGAGAATTTAATAGTGCCACTCCTTCTCTTCATTTTTATAAAACCCATGTGAAAATTATTCTCGTTCTTTTCAGAATGGATATTGATTTTTCACCAACTGGTCGAGAATTTGTTACTGGCTCATATGATAGAACAGTGAGTTCTAGCCCTGGTTATGTTCAACTTTTATATTGTACTTTGAGATATGTTTTGAACCCATCATGTGATTGATTTTGCAGATAAGAATTTTCCCGTATAATGGGGGTCACAGCCGTGAGATATATCATACCAAAAGGATGCAAAGGTTTGTTTGTTATTCTAGCTTTTGCTCCTGGTTCATTATGTTTAAGTTTATCATTTGATCGAAGCACAAAGCCTTCCAAGTTACTATTAGTTTTAACTAATAAATCTCAAGTGACTTCTCAAATATGAATAGTGATATTTTATTTTGTGCCTCCTCTTTGGTGTTTGTAGGGTCTTCTGCGTCAAGTTCAGCTGTGATGCAAGTTATGTGATATCAGGGAGTGATGACACTAACCTTCGGCTTTGGAAGGCTAAAGCATCTGAACAATTAGGAGTTGTAAGAACCTCTCCCCTTTATTTTTGCTAACTACTGCACTTGTTCGATCTGGATTTGTTAATTTTTAAATCCCATTTTTATTTTACTAGTTCTCTTCTGATCTAATACCTTATGTATTTACCAAAATGTAATTCCTTTCTATTGTCAGAACTATTTGATCAATTTTACTCTGTACAGCCTGCATGAAAATTACTAGATTTAAATTAGGTGGCGAATGATGTTAGTCTAAAGTGAATTGTATTTCATAGTTTCTGATATTGTAATAGTTGATGTTTGTAATAAGTAGTTGATAGCAGCTTTATTTACTTTTTAATTAATGTTGCTGCAGCTTCTTCCGAGGGAGAAAAGAAAGCATGAATATCAAGAGGCTATTAAGAATCGTTATAAGCACCTTCCTGAGGTCAAGCGGATTGTGAGGTAAGAACCGTGACCAACATTCATGCTCTGTTAGTGTCGTTCTGTTGAAGACGAATGACTATTGTAAATGGGATTCCTCGTCTCCATCTACACTACTGATTGTAACTGTAGTTTCCTATCCTGAAACAGATCTTTTAAACTTCTATTCTGTGTTGGTAACTGCAGGCATAGGCATTTACCAAAACCGATATTCAAAGCAGCTGCCCTCCGGCGCACTATTATCGATGCTGAAAGAAGGAAGGAAGAGAGGAGGAAAGCTCATAGCGCTCCAGGAAGTATTTCAACTGTACCGCTCCGTAAGAGAAGAATTATCAAAGAAGTTGAGTAAACTAACCATGAACCTGGAGGAGGAGGGGGTATTGCTGGTTGCTTGCAGTTATTCGTGCCAGTTCAAAATTGTTACAGTCAAACTCCCGAGCTTCAAACAATTCATGAGCGGTAAGTTACTTAACATTATGGCACTTTCAGGCACCATGAGCTCACGAGATTTCACGAAGACCCCATCTCATGACTTCGACTTACAGTTGGAGAGAAGGAATCAAAATTTTGCCGCATTGTACAAATTCTTGATTGTCAGATCAACTATTTGCTATAGTTTTTTCTACAGTTTTATTGCTGATAAAGTGAGTAAATTTTTTTTTTCAGCTTGCTACATATTCTCTTCTTGAATTTGTTAAAAGCTGATCACATTTCGGTTCTGTACTAGTCTTCTAAATGTTCGTGAACTATATAGAGCCTGTAATACCCACTAGGATCATGAGGACTGGTTTTAGTTTCCAACTTCTTAAAGATTAAAGTTTAATATATAATAGCAAATCAGCATATTGCTGCGTAATACTCGAAAGCTTTCAAGATGTTCTCTGTTCTTAGCTTTCAAGATGTTCTCTGTTCTTTGTAAGGGTGGTAATGTGTTCTAACATATGTATTGTTCGCAAATTACTAATGAAGGTGGTTTTTTTTTTTTTTTTTTTTTTGCTTTCATAGTACTTTCGATTAGTTATTATATTTTTAAAATGTTTGTTTCAATCTTTGTACTTAAAAAAAAAAGTAAAGTGATCTTATTTTTAAGGTAACATTTTACTTGCTAAAAATTATGATATAGTTTTCATTGTGTAATTAATTTTGCTAATAGAGATACATTGATTATTTTTTAAAAGTACAGAAGTTAAAATAAAATGAATGTTTCCGACGACGTATAGGAACTAAAATGAATGTTGACGTAGATAGATATTTATGTTAAAGTTAGAGAAATTAATAAATCGTAAAAATATTTAGATTAACCAATAACTATTTTTCTATTTTAAAATAAGTTAAAATAATTAATATTAATACTGTGTACATATTATTGTTGATATTTTTTTATATTTTGTCTATCTATTTTTTTATTAATACGAGAAAGATTTCGATTTATCGGTAGATGTCTAACCTATAGATATTAGAAATATCTATGAAAATATTCACGGATATTTAATAACATGGTGTAAGTCTACTGAAAAATTCATAAAACAAATATGGTAATTAAAAAGAAAGAAAGAAAAATGGAGAAACTCCCATTGTTCTCGAGAAGCGGCGGCAGGGTTTAGCATTTGAATGCCCTAAATCTTGAACGGAAGTCTGTTCATCGTGGCTGGCTCTGGACAATTTTTCGCCGCGTTCTCAGATTAACCGATGGCTTCCTCCGCCGCCAGGGCCATTTTCCGATCCTGCTCCGCCTCAGGTTTCAAGGCAACCTCTCGTCTGGCCACCGGAGCCAGAGCAGCCCCAGCTCGTTCACCATTTCGCATTTCGACTAAACCAAGTTTCTCTCAATGTGCTGTAAGGTAATTTGCTCAAAAGCATCGGATTTCGACTCTTCCGAGTATACAAGCATCGACTGAGGATCGAGAATAGGGCACGCACTTGTGCCAACATTGAATTGGAAACTTCTGTTGAAATGAGTAGAAAAATAAGCTAATTGTTCCGTTTTTTATGTTTTTTTTTCTTCTTCCGATGAAGGATTCCTGTGGAAATGAGCTTCTGTGTGGAGTCGATGCTTCCGTTCCATTCGGCTACTTCTTCGGCATTGATGACTTCAATGCTTTCTGTCTCTCCACGTAGTTATGGTTGGCTTTCAGAAGGTACTTTCAGTCTCTTCTTGTTCTTCCAGTAGTTCCTCGGGATCGGACTAGGTTATGGGCTAAGAACATATGTTTTCGTGTTCTGAAACTTTGCTAGGGTGAATTTTACTTCTTCAATGTTCTTGTTATACTGATAGGTTATTCTTTGGGCTTCTGATTTTTGTTGGCGGAAAATTGAATGTGCTGTGTTCGTTGAACAGCTTTATAATTTACTTGGATTGCCTTTGTGATGTACAACACAATGGAGGATAACATGTGATCTACACACCTGACCCTTTAAATTTGGATCTTATAGTGCAGGATGAAAAAGAGGGGGGAATGTAGTGAAAGGGAGTGTATAACTATATGGAAGAACCAAGGGGTTAGCTTTTATAATTCATTCATGATTCAATCACGATTCACAATTTCCTAAAACTGTTTGAAATCTTAAATAGAAAACTATTTTGAAAACAATTTTCCAAATAGTCTCCGACTGATTCAGCTCAAATGTCCTCGTTGAACCAATCCCAGTATTTTGGGCCAAGTATATTTCCCAACTGCTTTCTTGCTCTTTTGGCTAGATTGGGCAAATATCTTATCTTGCCCTTTTTTTGCTACTTTTTTCATATCAACGATGTTTAGCTTATTGTCTTAAGATAGCGATTAAATGCTGCATTATGAACTAGGATCCAACTTTGCCAAAGCTAAAGAAACAATTGGTAATAAATGGCTTTCATCCCACTGTAAGTTATGAATTTGTTGTTCTTGTCATGCTTGCATGTTACACGGACACGAATATCTCATCCACGTACTTGATCTTAAATATGAGGTTACTAATTGTAGTGTTTGATCAGTATTCAATGATGATGTGTGATAAATGGTCGAGGGGATTCCAAGAAAGTTTTGTATGCAGAGTTACACACTGTGACAGTGCCCGCTGATAAATTAGATGAGCTGATGCACAGGGATTTGGTTTTCCATGAGCTGACTCAGTCAAGTTTGCATATCTTTAATTCTTAACTTGTGTAACTATGGACTACTAGAATGTATAGGAAGATCTTACAGTAGACAGACATTTGAGTTTTATCTGAAAATGAAGGCTTAGAACCATTATGTTGAATTCCTTTATAGAGTTATCTTGCAATCGTGAAATAAAAATGCTTACTGAGGTAAGACTTGGAGGATTCTTCTCTAGCAGTCTTTATATTATCTTGTATGTTACTCTATCATTGCTCAGGCAATGTAGGTACTTCATATCTTACCACTTTAAAAGTTGTTATATACTAATATTAATCATATGAACTCGGAAAGATTTATCAAAGTTGAGCTATATGCAAGTTTGCATTCTAAGATAAAGTTTCTTGTTATAATGTAAATTCAGTACACATTATTATTGCGTCAAAGTTAAATATCACAATTGTTTTTTCACCATAAATTAAGCTAACAGAACAAATATATGCAGTGATAAAACCCTCTATTTACTTTTCCAATTGATACGATGAGAAAGTAGGACTTGCACTTCCCTTTCCAGATCCAAATTATAGTCCCAGCAATAATCAGCTAATATTACCCTTTCAGCAAGATTTGTGTTGCTATATAAAACTGTATCCCAGTTAATAGCAGCAGTCCTCCACCACACAATAGAAAGTAAATCCATGATAAATCAACATCGCATTATTTGAAGTCACTCTTCAACGTTAACTAATTCATATTCAACCAGAGAGAGATTGTTGTCCTCTTTAACCTCAAAGTTAGCTGGTTCGGCAACTTCAATTCGTCCCCATTTATCAACTGCTAACCTCATCGAGCCTTTAAACATGTCAATCTTTGCATTCCGCAGGGTCACGGTGTTACCTGGCTTCATGATATCAACTGCAAAAATTACGACCATTTGTTTAGACAACAAAACATTAGAAGCATTGAACTTGGGAGGGGGAATATAACAGTAAAACTGGAACATATAGATGATAGTGAACGGGTTGTTCGCCATCCTCTTTCCACCATAACCCACAAAGGATTGAAATAGGTTCTTAATACCAAGCAGATACCAAAAGCATGAAATAAAGAAACGGCTATGCACTTGTAGTCTTGTACTAACAACAGATTTTAAGTCAAAAGCAACATTAAGGTACGAGACATAAAGGAACAAAGCATTGTCCACACCCACATGATTAACAATTTATTAATCCACTATCTCAAAGCTCCTTGAATTACAAGAGATGAACAAAAATGAGCTCCATCTTGACCAATAACATCCCCCGTACCTCCGGGAGCTCGAGAACTCGTTTCGAACTTATTTTGAACAACAGTCATACACATGATCTTCCTCCATAGATTAAAGTCTTCTGCCCAAAAAGTATTTCTATTTCGAATTCAAACCTTATTAATTCCATTTTGAAGTTTTCTTGAATTCCATCGATTTACTGTTATACATCGGAACCAAGCTCTGATACCACTCGTTGTTGTGCAATTATCTCAACACCCAATTTCGATATATATAAAGTAAGAAAACATAACCATTCAAAAACAGATGAAAGGAACAAAAGATTCAGGGTAATTCAGCACAGCAGAGTCCTCGAGCTTAGATAATTATTGTTGAGAGATTTCTTTGATGGGTAATTTTTTGCAATACCCCCTAAAGGGAATTTTCAAATATCAACGAAAAAGTTTCTATTTTCGAGTTAAAAAACAACCTGCAGAGAAGAATACATAATTCAGCGGAAAAGAGATGAAATTCACAAACGAAAGAGATAACTCACTGTTCCAAAAATTCTCAATCACTTCAAACATTCAAATAGAAAGGAAGAGACCACAATATAAGAGCCACATGTTCTAAAAAATATCCAAGGAAAAGGAGGCTAATAGCAACCATACAGAAACATTTCAGCAAGCATGTAGGAGCATCTAACAGATACAGCCCCGTAAGATGGAGAAAAATTCGACTCGCAAACAATTCAAGGGCTGCACAGACACGTACCTTGGTCATTTCGAGCTGTGAAGACTATGGAACCAGTTTCATCACCAACAAGACATTCAGAGATACGAGTTAATTGCTGAGGGCGAGCCGTGAGCATCGCGGATCGTCCACCTTTATTGACCATCTTCACATTTTTGGAGCTCACCACCTTGACGATGAGAGTATGGCCGCTCGTACCAGGCTTAAGCTCTTCTACTTTTATGAAGACCGGCTTCCTCTTTGCCGGGGCATTGACTGCTGCCGTCGCCATGGAAATTGAAGTAACAGAACGAAACCCTGTTGCCGATGAGAGTGAACGACGTGCAAATGGAGAATAAATTCGAACCCAGGAACCAAAACCCTAACCCTAAGAATTTAATTTTGCGGTCGCACTCGCATTTGGGATTCTCAGAATATGGGCTTTTTCTTTGTGGCGCATAACTGGGCCTCCTCAGGTCATCAATCTTGGGCTCTATAGTCTTCTCAAGTCCTTCTATCTTCCATTTACTATTTTTTTTTTATAAGTTTTCTTAAGTTAAAAATTTTGAGGTTAGATCCCACCTCAAGAAAAGCAACTGGTGTCTTATTTATTGGAATTATTGAATTAACTTGTATTTACTTTGTCTTGTTTGGTATTGTTGGGTTTATGTATTAAATTTAGTAAAAATTTAAAGTATTATTAGATGAATTTATAGTTTAAACCATGTATATTTTTTTTTAAAAGATAAGGTGCAAATGATAGAATCAATCAGAACCATTTAAAAGTTATGAACCGTCGTTAACATTTTCTTTTTATGAACCGTCGTTAACATTTTAAGAAATAAAGTTGGTCGAGTCTAAACTAAACTTTGCCCATAAACCAACAACAAACTAAAAGATAGAAAGTTTTACTCTTACTCCTTCGATCTCAAATGGTCGGTTCACATATTTTCTTCTTTTTGTCACATTTCGTTCAAAAGAATGAAGAGAGATAATGCATCAAGTTGTCGCAAGAGTAAGTTAATCCTTCTTATCTAGAGATCTCAAATGAGGGAATCTCAAGAGAGCCGCAATGCTTCACCTAGCTCAATCAGTTAAACCGTAAGACCGAACTGATAAATTATTGGTTTGTTATCGACTTGCCATCTTTTGTGGCTGGTTTGGCTTCCATTCAAATCCAAAATCAAGCCGAGCCGAACCACTTACACCTACAAATCTTCCTGCGTGCCAACTTCTTGGGCCTCTACGGATCATAGAAATGGGTTCAAACCACGAACTCGTGGTTTTATGGACCAAAAATCGACCCGATCCACGGCGGATTCTCTTTACCATGGTGAAGAACCGTAATAACAAGAAATTCTTATTCCTCAGATTAGATAGCTTTCTTTCTTTTTTTCTGCTTGTTCGACTGAATCCTCTGCTCGAAGAAAGGTACTCTTCGGTTGTTCTTTCCTTCAAATTCATAGCAGTATCCGTGCATGTCGATTTTAGGGATTTCTATGAATAGTTGTCTTCGTTAGCTATTCTTCTTTCTGCTGGTGTTTTTTTTTCCTATTTTTTTTCGGGGTTGAAGATGATGATAAGTTCATTACTTCGAGTGAATACTTTGGATTTTCCTTGTGACGTATCAGTTTTTGGTTTCGGAGTCTTAAACTGTTTGTATCGCATGTAAAATGGTGAAATTCTATGAGTACTTGATGGACTTTTTTCTTTCACTGCCCTCTTTTTGGGCCAATTTGATTACGTCAAACGATTATAGTAGTAAGAGTTTTATCAGAAAGCTGAAAGAAAATGATCTGTTGTGCTAGTTAACCCCACATGGTCACATGAGCATAGTGTAGTCATAATCACTCATATGTGTTGATAGTCTTTTTTTCCTTTTTTCGGAAAATCTATTAATTATGATATTCATAATTAATTCAGATTTTGCAAGTGATTTTTTCTTTTACATGGTTACAAACACTCATCATGTTCTGGTTTAGTTTGTGAAGCTATGTTTATGGTATTTGTGGTGGTTCCTAGTGGCTAATTTTCCATTATCTTGGTAGCATAATCTGCAATCATGCCAAAGAACAAGGGAAAGGGAGGAAAGAATAGGAAGAGAGGTAAGAATGAGGCAGATGATGAGAAGCGGGAGCTTGTGTTTAAGGAAGATGGGCAAGAATATGCCCAAGTTCTCCGAATGCTAGGCAATGGCCGGTGCGAAGCGATGTGTATTGATGGGACTAAACGCCTTTGCCATATTCGGGGAAAAATGCACAAGAAGGTTTGGATTATCTCCAAAAAAATCCCAATTGTTTCGAACTTTCTCTTTTTGGAATGGAATATTTACGGAATCCCCATGAATAGGATCAAACCTTATTCCATGGTATTTACATGAGATTCCTCTTTCTTATTCTTAAGCAAGTCCCCGAGAGACATGTACCGAAGCAAACAAACGAAACGAGGTGATTCGGTCAAAAAAAATGAATTGTTGCAGCTGGGGATATCATTCTCGTTGGTCTCCGGGAGTATCAGGACGACAAGGCTGATGTGATTCTCAAATACATGCCTGATGAAGCCAGGCTTTTGAAAGCTTACAGTGAGCTACCTGAGAATACACGTCTCAACGAGGGTATTGTTGGAGGTATGGATGATGACGATGAAGGTGGTGGTGATGCTTATATTGAGTTTGAGGATGAAGATATTGATAAGATCTAGATATTTGGAGTAATATCTTAGTAAAGGAAAACTATACTATAGTCGGGTGAAGTTGTATCGCCGAGGAGAATGCAGACAGGATCAGTTTTATTCCATGTAACATCTCTTCTTTATACTGTATGATTGCATATACCCCTTGTGGCCAATAATACTTATAATTATATTACATACATCTCCAAAGATAAGCCAACTCTTTACCCAATTACTGAGATGGTCTCTTACCATTCTTCTTCTTTTCAAATGCTATATGTGACCTGTTCTGTTATCTTGAAGTAAATGTATGGATATCCATATTGATGAGGAAGGAGTTGGCGTCAGGTATACAATTATTGCTGAATGTACAAAATAGTTATGACATCTGCACATTTTGCTTCAACAGTGTTTATCAGCCTGAACTAAGTAAGTTGTAGAAGCATTTACTTTGGAGCGAATCATTGGTCTTGAAGGTGGGTAAGTTAGGATTGTACGAGGATTCCTGCTATTTATTTAAGGCTTGTTTGCATTATCATCCATCTTAAGTTTTGGTTCCTCACTGTTTATGATAGTTCTTATCCTTAATATACAAGGGGTTTCCTTAACATAAATAACATCAAAGATCAACAAGAAGGTTTCAATTTCCAGATTTACACACCGATTCTGGATTCGACCGGAGAGGAATTCGGAGAACTGTTGATATATGCATCATTACATTTGATTTCTCCTCTTTCCCCAGCTTGCTTTAGTCTGCTCCTTTGATCTCTTTCAGTCTCTGCTACCCAGTCCCGTTTGCTCACCTAAATTAAGTTTTATGAGTTCCAAAATGTTGGATGAGGAGAAACAGGAAAGAAAGAATGACAAACAGAGAACTACAAGCCTCGGAGTTGAAGCTATTTGGGTTGGTTTTTGCTTTTTACTATTTGAATTGACAGTTCTTAGAAGTTATGTTTATGATTGAACATGCAGCATGATTTTGTTAGCTTCACTGAAATGTTTTAAATTGAAATATCTGCTGTACCTTTGTAAAATCTCCATGATGCTGAAGGCTTGGTACAGTCTTCCTCCTTGATATGTAACTTGAACCCTTTGATCTGTTCTTAGTTAAGTTACCATCTGTGCCCTGCACAACATCCGCAGAGAAGTTAACAGATCTTACAGATACCTCATTAGATCCGCAGCTTTCCTTTTCTTCCCCGCCTATATCAAAGAGTCTTTGGCTTAGCACCAATCTTTGACTGTTGTCGATGGCTTCCGTTGGCTTCCTCGTGTGAGTTTCAACAGAGGAGCCTTCAGGAAGGCGGGTGGCCATCCACCTCTCAAGCCAGCTCCAGCTCATGTTTGCTTCCATAGCGTCAGATTTTGCGAGCTTTCTCTTGGAGCAGATTCGAAGCTAAAAAACCCAGCAGGAGTAACAACAATCATTACAGCAGATAACCCAGCTTCTTTGTATTCTCAGGAAATGTTATAGTTCAATTTACCTGTTGCGAGAAAGCATAAGCTAGTGCTCTTTCACGCCTGGTTGATGCTTCTAGCCTGTTCTGAATCCTCATTCTCGATACATTGCTACTCACTGTGCTATCATCCCATTCTTCCTGCAAAATCCAAAAGGCCAAAAGGGTTACAGAAGATCATTAATATTTTCAGGAATTTCGAGGCTTTCAATGTTTCGTAATCAGATCCAGATAACTTTCAACAAGTTACACAGAGCATGTCGTCTTCAACCTTCAGCTTATGTAATTGGGTTTTGGGTTTCTGCTGGATTCGGTTGGAAAGAACAATTCCTTCTTCTTGAACAGAGAAAGCTTCAGAATTCCCAGTCAAAACTTCAACCGACGTGCTTAGAGATTCTCTGCTTGGGCTTTCTGTTCCCTCAGTGATCTCCTTCTTCCAATCCCCCCATTTGATCTCTTCATTTTGACGCCGAGCCTGCAATTCAAATTCACTAATTACAGAGTTCATTTCCATCATCATCTTACCTAGAAAGCTTAATCAAACAAAGTCCAAACCAAAAGTTTTGGGATCCGAATGTTTAGTATGAAGTAAAAGTGTTAAAATGACCAGAAAGCTTCTAAATGCTGACTGGATGATGAGTGCTGCTTGTTCTTGGTGCTTCAATTGGGAGCTTAAATCCAAAACCTCCGGTTCAGGATCTTGTTTCTGTGTTGAAACCTGTGTCTCTGGAACAGGCTGCGTGACAGTTGCTTCAGAGCTTCTAATGGATGCTGCATCTTCCTCCGCAAGAACTAAATTGTACTCGTCGCCACACAGGTAAGATCTAACAGAGTGCCATTTTTTCCTTTCCACTGAATTGTTGTTCCTCATCTGACAAAGTCAGATCAGAAATAAAAAACAAAGGCAATTCACTCAGAAATCATAGACAGATAAAGTGAAGAAGTTTCGGCTTGGCATTTCAACAAACACAAGGAGGGCAACAATATCAAAAGAAACCAAAATCCTATTCTTACATTTTTCTCATGATGGGTCTTGAAAGAGCGATTCCTGGAGAAGACATTCCTAACCAATTCTCCCTTAATTCCCATTTCTACTCAGCAGAAAAAGAAGAAACCCAGAGGGGAAGTCTGCAGAAAACGAGGTTTCTTTTAGTTTTTGCTCCGCTGAAAGTCATGCAGAGAGAGAACACAACACAGAGAAGCAAAGGTTGTGATGGGGCAGAGTGTTATAAAGGTGAAAAAGAGGAAGCAGCAGCAGCAGCAAATTGTTGGAAAACCGCATGTTAGGGAGAAATAATCAAGAGCATGCCTTTAGAGCTGGACATGGGATACTTAAATCTCAAAAGAAATAATGGAAGCTCAAGAAAAAAAAAGTAAAAGATTTTGATAGAAAGGATGGATTGGTTGTAAGAGTTTTAATTTCTTTGCAGATTGCTTTTTGCACATGGATGCCACCCAAAAAAAAAAAGGTTTGCTTGGCAATTGGGATATGTCTATTCCTTTTCATTACAATTACACTCTCTGTCACATAAATTTTTTTTTTTTTTTATTAAAGTAACTACCTCTGTCTCGGAATTTGTGCTCAAAGTATCTCTATTTTGTTATCGATGTTGATGGAAAGATCGGTAAAAAATGTTGATATTGATAGATATTTTTTGAAAAATTTTAAAACTAACAAAATTCATGATAAATATTTAAAATAATAAAGCAACATTTTACTCTTTTTAAATTAGTTAAAATTTATTAATTTTAGTATTATGTTTAGGACGTTGTCAATTTTTTTTCGGTTTTGTAGAATTTTTAATTCACTCCTTATATTAATGTCAACCTTATAGATATATGAAATGGTCGATAGAAATTTATACTAAAGGTTAACATCTTTGGCAGAGATTGAACTAAATTAAAAAGGTTAGATATAAACATCAAACTGAAATTGAACACACACATTTCATTTTAAAAAGAGTAAAATGGTAATTTGACGTAGAAAAATGTCTTATGACTAAATTGAAAATCAAGTAAATGGCATAAAGGCTAAAACAATAATTTAATAACTTTTCACTACTCTCAATTTTATTGGATCTAATAAACATGTTTGTCTGCCATTTGAGACCCAAAAGCTTCCATACCAAAAGTAATTAGCTGAATTCTTATGAATAATTAATTAAAAATAAAGATTATGTTTGGATTTGTATAGTTTCTTCTTTTGGGGGTGTATTTTTTCTAAAGTTGGCGGCCATATTTTCACGTGGAATAATAGCTGTGAACAATTTATTTTCAGGACAATTGCAAACTGTCTCTGCGCATAATTGTACATAAACTATTTACACTCTCAAGTAATCTTTTGTCAGTACAAGAAATGTCGGGACGAGGGATCGAAATTCCATAACCTCCAAAGAAAAAATAAGATACTGTCACCGTTGAATTATGCTCGTATTGGCCATTCCAATAAATAATCAAAATCATTCTTGAAATTTAATTTTTTTACTTTAGATTAAACTACAAATTTAGTCAATAAACTTTCAAATTTGTATCTAATAGGTCATTAAACTTTAAAAATACTTAATAAGTCCATAAACTTTCAAATTTGTGTCTAATAGACTACTGAATTTTAAAAAGCGTCTGACGGATCATTAAACTTTCAATTTTGTATTAGGTTAATTTTCAATTTCGTATCTAATAGGTCATTGACCTAATCAACATTTAAAATGTTTGATTTATTAAAGACAAGATTGAAAGTTGAGGGTTCTATTAGACACAAAATTCAATTTCTTGTTGAATAGATTGGTTAACTTTTAAAGAATATTGAATATGTTAGGGACCTATTACACACGTAATAGAAATTCAAAGATTTATTAGACACAAAATTAAAGGTTTAGGAATCTACTAAATCAGAGACATATTAGACACAGACTTGAAAGTTTATGGACTAAAAACAAGATCTACTTTTTAATGCAGGTCTAAACATATTCGTGGTATACATTTTAGATCCACGAGGCTGACTTTTGAAGTTTTTTGTTTTTGTTTTTTTTAATTATTATATCTTTGATCAAAAGATCGGATGTTCAAATCCACACTTTGTTTCTTAAAAAATCTCAAACTTTGTAATTAGTAATTTGTTATTTCATCATACTTTTTTTAGTACAACAAATTGGGGATATGAGAGTTTGAACTTTAACTAATTTGGATAATCATGGAAATATCTAATGGGAAGTCTAAAAAATTCCAAATCTAACTTAGTTTATTAAGACATATATTTTTAAAGGGAAATAGTAAGGTACCTTAGCCGCTAAACTATGCTTTAATTAGTAAATTCGATTTATTTTAATAGTTATAGCCTAATAGGTTTGTTAGTTTCACAGAATAAATAAGTAGAAATAAAAGGAACGTTTCTCCAAACCTGCCTTTCAAGCAAGTTTTAGCCTCGAAAACAAGGTTACGATTATTGCATTTTTTTAAGTCGAGAGCAAAAAGTATGTAACTACCAACTACATTTAAAAAGGAGTATTTAGAGATGCTTTCGTTATTCCCAATAATATGATTTTATAATATTCACTTTTATCGTTAGTATATCAGATACTCATATCAACAATATATCAAACACTCATATTAGTAGTATATTAGATGTATATCACATACATATTGCACAGATACTCATATCAGTAGTATATCACATATATATTGTGAGTATATCGATACTCATATCAGTAGTATATCACATACATATATCAGTAATCAAATAAATGTATATTATTTGGATAAAGTTGTTATTTTAAAATTGAACTTTCTTTTAATTTATATATATATATATAATAATTATATACAATAATTTTACTATATTTGTAAATGTCCCTGAATATTATATACAATAATTTACCAAATATTTTCGGGTTTGCCCAAAATTAGAAACCCTAAAATTATCTTGTTTCAAATCAACGAGAAAATTGAAGAGTTTAGTTGTACAGTTCCAGAAACCCGATCCAAATACTTGTTCGGGCTCGAAAAATTGGTTACCCGTTTCGTCCGAATTCGCTTCCATCTATATTTACATGTTCTCTCTGCTGGATCCATCGCGAAAAAACTCGGATCGTCCAGCCTGCGGGATTGCTCATATAAATTGCCATAGCTTCAAAATTCCTACTCCCCCATAGGCGTCTGCAGTGGCACTCAGCATCGTAAGCTCTTCGCTCTTTGAAATTCTGCTTGTTGATTCTACATTCAATTTCTATGGCGTAGTTCTGTTTGTCAGCCGTGAAAATTAAGGAGAAGTATGGGGAAGGCCTTGCGTATTTCTTAATTTTTACTCTTGGGTCTGTACAATTTGCCACCAAAGGCGGTCTAAGCTCAACGAAGCATGTGCGGCCTTTTTGCTTAAGCTTAAGCTTAATTCTTCTTCTTCCATGAATGCTATGTCTTTTTACGAAGGTTTTGATTTATGGGTGTTTTGCATCGTAGGACTTATGCGGTTACTTGGGGCGCTCAGTAAATGAGATATTGAAGAAAGAAAATGAGTATCGTACCCAAAGAAAATATCGAGGTCATTGCGCAGTGTATTGGGATCAATAACTTATCCCCAGATGTTGCATTGGCAGTTGCTCCTGATGTGGAATATCGTTTGCGGGAGGTCATGCAGGTAATTTTTCTCGTTTATGCTTAAACTATGGTCACATGGTATATTTTTTAGTTTTTTGATGAAAATTAAACACAATATTGATCCCTTGTTGCTTCATTAATTACTAAATTTAATTTCTATTTTGCGCTTGGTTGGTTGCTACTTCTTGGTTGAACTGTCTACTGGTACATGTCTGGCACTAGCAGAGTATTTTTAGGTCATACTTGTTTTGATTCACGGGAGAGAAGAAATATTTTGTTTTTGAGTTCCATTCACAAGTTTGTTGCAACTGGGAAGATACGAATGACACTGGTGTGTAATTCTTTTGCGCTTTGCTTAACAATGATTTTAAGTTCAGCCAAGCGTAAAAGAATTGCACACTTTGCTGAACTTTGCTGAATTACACGCAATGATTTTAAGTTCATAATTGGGTTCTACTCAACAATGATTTTAAGTTCACAGGATTTACCTGTCCTGTTTCAAAAAGAGGTCTTGTTTCAAAAAGAGGAATTAGGTGACTGGTCTTTGAAACTGTTGGATGTTGGTGTGCACGAATCTATTGCTAGTCTAGGTAACGTGCGGCTAAACTGAGTAAGAAGATATTTGTCCTAATGGTTCTATATTATGATACTCTAGAACTTGTAAATATAGTGCACAAGCGTTGCCTTGTAGAAGACGAAATGGTGGAGCTAATAATTCTCTTACTCAAAATTTAGGAGGCCATCAAATGCATGCGTCACTCTAAGAGAACTACGTTGACAGCCGATGATGTTGATGGTGCACTAAACCTGAGAAATGTGGAGGTAAGTACAATACTAGTGGATATGGATTCTGTATTTTGTGTTTTCAGATCTGCATGCCTTTTACTGGTGGTTTGCCTATATATGCATATATTCCTTTATTTCATATATCTTGATTTAGGAGTGATGTAATAGATTGTCCTTGTTGATTATGACGAGTGATGCACCATGGTAAGGAATCCATGAATTTCATTATTTAAGGTATTCTAAATTGGCATCATCAGAATTTCTTTGATGCCTAGTGCATCATATAGACAATGGCTATATGGTTGGGTCACTTAAAAAAAGAAACTTCCACGTGCATCATATCTTTGATGCCTAGTGCATCATATAGACAATGGCTATTAAAATGGTTGGGCCACTTGAAACTTCCATGAGTCGATGAACACTCCTAAAAAACAATCAGCTGGTCCCAAGGATAAATTTTGCCATATTTGATTTGCTAGATTGAAAGCAATTATTCTTGGCTTACTAGTATAACTTTAACGCTTCCTTAGTATAAAAGATATCTTGAAAAGTTGAGCTTCTGTGATGTGCTAAACTTATTGGGTATTCAGATGAGTGGTTTTTAATGCCTTTGTTGCCTTAAAGCTCCTGCTGCAATAACTTGTCCCTATACCGCTTTTTTCTCTATCTGCTAATAGAAGGAACATTATTCACTCTCCTTTTTGATGTTGATGTGGCAGCCTATGTATGGCTTTGCCTCTGGAGGTCCCTTGCGATTTAAAAGAGCCGTTGGACATAGGGATCTGTTTTACCTTGAGGACAAGGATCTGGAGTTTAAAGACGTAAGGAATTTTTTCACCATTCTAGCTGTCTCATTCTTGCCAATGTCTTTCAATGAATCGCGTGTTTTACTTATAGGTCATTGATGCTCCATTGCCAAAAGCTCCTCTTGATACTGCTGTTTTTTGCCATTGGCTAGCAATCGAAGGTGTGCAGCCTGCAATACCAGAAAATGCTCCTGTAGAAGGTTTGTCCCAAATCTGATTAATGTTGATTGTTGACACTTGACATGTACTCACAAGCCAGGCAGATAGTTTTATTTGAGTACCAAAATGTGACTGAAATTTCTGTAGCAGCCCTTTACATGCTAGCATGTAGCACAGATATTTCTGTATGCTTTTTGGTTTTGAAAAAGAAGCATTTACAAGAGTAATCTTACCGCATTCTGATGTATTTCTCATCTACAGTAATTTTACCACCTTCTGATGTGAAAAGTAATGAACAAAAGGATGGACTTCCAGTTGACATTAAATTACCAGTTAAGCATATACTGTCCAAGGAGCTTCAGGTAATTGACTTGTTATTTGCTTATATTATTCTGTTAAAAGTTTGATTGATAGGTAATTTACATGTTTCATCACAATATTTGCAGCTATATTTTGACAAAATCACGGAGCTTGTTGTTAGTAGGTCCAGTACAGTTCTTTTTAAAAAAGCATTAGCGAGTTTAGCTACGGACTCAGGACTTCACCCATTGGTTCCTTATTTTACGTGCTTTATAGCTGATGAGGTATACATGTTTGAGCATATGAGATCTACAGATTGCATTCGAAGTTCTTTTGATTTTTTATTTAAAAGCTTTTGTTTTTGATTTTCCAATGATATCAGGTTGCACGTGGACTGGGTGATTATTCCCTTCTTTTTGCTTTAATGCGTGTCGTATGGAGCCTTCTTCAGAATCCTCACATTCATATAGAACCTTATGTGAGTTGAATTCTACATATCTGTTATATCATCTTCTTTTTCTAAGGGTTGGGTTGAGGTTCATGAATGTCTAAGTCTAGCAGTATTCAGACAACTCATTGATGTTTTATAGCAGCCAGATCATTGTTATCACCTTGGCCTTCCTTGTCTTCCATTATTCTGGGCTACTGCTCAGAGTAACTGATATAAGAACATTAAGTAAAATTCATTCAAGTTTAGAAAATTGGCTTGAGATTGCGATGCACTGTCTGCGTAATAGAGATGCTTAGAAGGAATTCACTTTGAGAAGTTCATTTGCTGATCCTGAAGCTCAAGGAATTATTTCACTAGCAGGACATAGTAACTTTACTCCTTTTTGTAATAAACACAAATTGGGGTGGGTTTTTCTGTAAGGTTTTTTGGGGTGTGTTTATAGCTTTCTTGTATTACTTTTTACTAGGTTTTGTTTTCTTGACTTTGTCTGTAACTGTTCGTATATTAATGAAAAGCTTCTTTCGTGTTCAAAAAAGAAAAAAAAAAGCAGGGCTTATTGCTCGTCTTCCATAAACATGTCTTGTGAAGATAATATTTCAAGTTGATTGCAAAAAACAGGCCGATATGTGTTCCCAATTTCAACTATTTGGCCTTGTGAATAATTTTCCTCCGCGTATCCCTATCTTTTAAGACCACCTTTGGCTTCTCATTAATCTTCAACCAGTTCATACTTCAAAGGATATTTAGTTTGAATTCTATCCTTAAATTGTTAGTCAACCATGTTTTGAGGCCACAATAAGGATAATATATATGGTTTTTGCTTGGTACTTTGTGTGGAAGGTATTCAATCTGTATCTGAGACAGCGTATTTTCTTGTCAGCTACACCAAATGATGCCATCTGTTGTGACCTGCCTCGTTGCAAAAAAGTTAGGAAATAGGTTTTCAGACAACCACTGGGAGCTCAGAGACTTCACAGCAAAAGTGGTTGCTTTGATATGTAAAAGGTGAAATTTAATTTGCCAGGTTCTGCTTAATCTCATGCTTTTTGTTAGGGTTAATCTCATGCTTAATATGGAATATTAACGTGAATTTATTATATATTCTATTGGTTTTCTTCTCAGTGATCGCTTGCAGTATTTGTTATTCATTTCAACCTCCTTTTAAAATTAAATAGTTTGGCCGTATGTAGACAGCAGATCAAATTGGATTTGGTATAAATGAATTTTACTTTACAACATTCTGCAGTAAATAGGTTACCCTAGTACTATGTTTTGTTTCTATTAAAGGCTAAAACATCATTTTTCAGAGTATGGCATAATTATTTGTGGTCTGCTATCTTCCTTCTGCGCTGTCTTGCTTTTAGATATTTTTTGTAAGATTGAAGTGTTAATGTTGCAGGTTTGGTCATGTTTACAACACTCTGCAGACAAAGCTTACCAAAACTCTGCTTAATGCATTTTTAGACCCAAAACGGGCTCTGACTCAACATTATGGTGCAATCCAAGGATTAGCAGCCTTGGGGATGAATGTGGTATGCTCTTCTCACATGCTTATTTAATTAGACTAGGGGGTTGGAAGTTGGAGAAAATGAATGTGTTCGTCTCAAAAGTATGGAAAGTGATACTATAGGAGAAAGAAGGGAAGAGATTAAGAGAAATGTTTTCCTCTGTTTGCTATTTGAAAGATTTATAATTTATATCTTATCAAATCAGGTTGAATTTCAAACAATGTTTAAGAATGACATTGTGTTGATTTAATCTGATTTGAATTTACACCTCGATGAACTTCATCCTTTATATTAGAGAGGCTATTCCTTCTTGACCTTTATATTAATTCTATCACTTTAAAAAGAAATCTTCTGAGGTAAGATAATGATGTTTGCTCATCTTTCATGTGCAATTTCAGTAAGAACATAATCAGTCAAAATGTCATTTGAATTCGGAGTTTCCTTTCCGATATGCGCTTCCCTCCCATCCGACTACACTGAACTCCTCCTAAAAAAGCTATTTGTCGTTAGTATACTTCAGTAATCTGTGCAGAGATCTCAGTTTCTAGTATCGATATTTTTTTAGGTTCACCTCCTTATACTACCAAATCTTGAGCCATATCTGGGACTTCTGGAACCTGAAATGCTTTTTGCAAATCAAAAGAATGAGATGAAGAGGCATGAAGCCTGGCGTGTTTATGGAGCCTTGTTGGTGAGTTCCTTTTATAAAGATCTTGTGCAACTTTATTACATGATTATTCTGTAGAAACTGATGCAATGGTTTATTGACATAATATGTTTTCCAGCGAGCAGTTGGTCAATGCATATATGATCGTGTCAAGATATTTCCTTTGCCTAGTGTGCCTGCAAATCCTGTCTTGCGGACGAATGCAAGAGTTATCACCGCCACATTCCCAAGTAAGTTCATGGAACTTATTTGAATCAAACAACTGAGATGGCTAAAAAAAAAAAAAACTAACAACTTCACTCCTGCTTTTCTCCATTATGATAAGTAGATTTTTGGCACGTACTTCTGTCTGGGATTTTTAGTTTATAGTTTTATATAATGACATTAAAATAGAAATATCCTCATTAGTATGTTGTGAATTATGTGATTAGTGAAAGAATGGAATAGAAGAGCCTGCCATCAGGAAACTAGAATGCTAAAATCTTTGATACGTCTCAACTGTTGCATGTTGAAATATACTTTTTGAAAATGACCAAGTCCAAAAATCCCACGCTAAAGTTCATCTTTCTTTGGTACATGCGTAATCTTAGACAAACGGAAGGCCAATGCAGACCACTTAGAAGGGCAGCCTCCCCTCAAGAAGATGGTAACTGATGGTGGCCCAATGAATATCATGGCAACTAATTCATCAACATCACACTTGGGAGTAATAGTCGGTCCAGCTACCTCTGGAAATTCCAATCTGGTTTCGCCTACATCTTCTCGACAGATGCAAAATGAGATCAGTTCAGGCAGCACCAGTAGAAAGGGCAAGCGCGACGATCAATTTCTTAAAAGGTCAGCTGTCCTATCTCAAGTCTGGAAGGAGGATCTTAATTCTGGAAAGTTGTTAACATCTATGTTAGATTTGTTTGGTGAAAGTATGTTCTGCTTCATTCCTGCTCCTGAACTGTCTCTGTTCTTGTGATAATTATCATCCATTTGCAAGTACAAAACACGGTTCGTGTAGCTGTATAATTACGTTATTTTATTTTGAATCTAGAGGAAATTTTGATGCATTAATCTTCTTTGCTGAAAAAGAGAAACAATATTCAATCAAGAAAAAACTTCACTCTCTCCTGATTTGGTTCTTGAACTTACTAATACAAGTAGTAAAAGGAAAGTATTTGGTAATTTAGTAGGAGAGCAATCAGAATGCTGAAGCAGCCATTATGGTGGTTTCTCTCTCAACAGCCTTCATCAAGAAGCTGCCCTCTTCTAGCACCATCTGAACAGGCAAGAATCCCATCCCATTAGCCGTAGCCAGCATCATCCTCTTGGTCTCAGCCTTAAACTCATCAAGATCAACCTTTCCACTCGAGTCATGATCAAACTGCAAAAACAGAGAACTATAGACAGTAGAAAGCTCATCTGGATCAGGCTTCACATCGATTCCGAAATGGATCTCGAAGACTCTGAGACTCTGTAACTCCCTCAACATCTCAGTGTAGGAAAGGAGACCGTCATGGTTGGTGTCGAGGTGAGCAAAACGGTCTCTGATGAAGGCATCAAAGGCCGCCTCATCTTCGACGAAGTTGACAATGGTGGCACTGTCCAATATTTCCACACTCATTTGAACTGGAAGGGTATAGGAGAAGATTTTGATGTGGGTTTTTGATGAGTAGAGGGATGGGGTGAGGTTTTGACATAAATAGGCCTCAGGAGGAAGCTTCTCCCAGTCTGTGTGGCCGTTTGTTTGTGTCAAATTTTATTTGACCAGCAGAAGCAGTTGGAAGTGCAACTGTGGAAGGTTCCGATTCTGGGGGCAAATCTTGGTTTAATGGGTGCCGCGGGGAAAAGAATATATATTACAAGTAGAAGTCAACAGGAAGAGAAGTCGGCGCAATTAGCTTCAAAAGTTGAAGAATTTGGAGCCAATTGGTTTTGGAGAATATGCAAAGTAGGAAGAAAAGAGGAGAAAATCAAATTGACCAGTAAGAATTCCATTGGTCAGCTCCTAAAGACGCGCCCCTAGGAAGCTTAATAAGGTTGGCTTGGCTTACACCTTCTATATTAAAAATATATAGTTGCTTTTTTAAAAATTATTTAGAGATGATCTATAGAGAAATTCACGCACCACACTCGAGGGATGTTTACGGGGCGGGGTATGGAGAAGGCTTTCACATCCTCATTCCCGCCCTCCATTTAAATTTTCCACAAAATTTTGTAGGGATTGTGATAGGGATTCTTCGTTGAGAATTCGTAGGGACTGAGTTCTCTATAAGAATTTTTTCCATTTTTTAATAAATATTTTTGTCCTAAAGGAATTTTTATATAATTGCTTAATTTCTAAAGATAAAATTTCATATCCATGTCTAATTCTCCCAAATATATATATTGAATAGGTAGGTAGAGAAGAATACATGATTTTTTTTTTAGTATATGTACATATAAAGAGAATGATAGAATTATTTTAGTGTGTATATATATTAAAAAAAATGATGCAGGGGAAAAAACCTAAATGGGGATTCTCTGCTCACCACACACGATCGGTAAGAGTGATGTATTATTTTAACTTTTTAGTACAACAAATGGGGGTAGCAACTTAATATTTTATTCGGAGATAGATGTCTTAACCAATTGACTTAATTTTTGACATATTATTTTATCGATGGTGCCTAGAGAAAGTCCTAGTTTGACCATTGATTTGATTTTGAAATTTGTGAGGTTGACTTAATACGACTTCTAGGCCACACGAGAGACAACTATATAATTTCATAGAAACATTTTGACATTGTGTACTTACTTCTAAGACTTCAATTTAAACCGATTAAACATGATTTGCATCAAAGATAAAATCGTAACTCATTAATTATACTAACACCAACATTACTGAATATTGGTAAATTAAGAGAACCATTCAATATTTGAATTCAAAGAACCATAACAAAAAATACCAACTCAAAATCTCAAACAAATGACTCCAAAACTCACTACAAAAAATCAATATTTCAAAAAAGCTTAACATATTAAGCAGCCAGTTTCGTGGTTTCTCTCTCCACAGCTTTCTTCAAGAAGCCATTTTCTTCAAGCACCATCTGAATGGGCAAAAGGCCAATCCCATTGGCCATGGCCAGCATCATCTTCTTGGTCTCTGCCATGAACTCTCCCAGATCAACTTTCCCATTGCAGTCCCGATCGAATAGCAAAAACAACGACCCGTAAACAGCAGAAACCTCATCGGGGTCGGGTTTCACATCGATCCCGAAATGCGTCTCCAAAACCCGAAGACTCTGCAATTCCCTCAGCATCTCTCCGTACGAAAGAACACCATCTCTATCACTATCTAGATGACTGAAACGCTCTTTGACAGTCGCGCCAAAAACTTCTTCGTCTTCCACGAAGCTCACAATCGTGGCACCGTCCAGAAGTTCTACGCTCATTTTGAATTGGGATTTTTGTAATGCTTTTGTTTTGGTGAGTTGAGAAATGGAAGTTTTGTGTCGTGTATATATATGGGATTGGAAAGTGAAAACAAACTTGAGGTTTGTGGTTTGTGGCATGAAAGAGAGAGAGAGAGAGTTTTGCGCGTAGTTTAAGGAAAAAGTTTGAGTCTTTTGAGGTTTAGAGCCGTTGGTTTGGCTTCTTTCTCCATGTTTTTGACTGTCTTCCAACCACCAGATTGTGCTTCCATTGGTTGGTTGGACTTTGGGAAGAGAGTTTTGGAAAATCACATTGAACCAAGTGAAACCACTGTAGTAATAAATTATATTGGAGCACCACACACGTGGTACATGTTGGTTGGATGATAAGTGTTACACATGACTTTCGTTAATATACCTCGAGTTTCACCACTGCGGTTTCATTTACTCTAATCGAGTGGACGCCTTGCGTGGCCGAACCAACCAAACTTCATAGAAATATGTTCCCATTTATTGGTTGAACTGATTAGCTTCATCTCGGCTCAACTCTAGTCTCCGATAGACTCCACGACAATACGCGTGATTTACGATCACTTTAAAGAGTCGTTGAGAGCTTGTCGAGAATATTGCCGGGGAAGTCGTCTATAAACAGAGCCTATTCAATCTGTTTTCAGGTACGCGGACATCCCTTTTCTCTCTGAAATGCAACTTGGATTCTTCCTGACTTTAGCATCAGAGTATTCTCCGTTTTACAGGTCACCTGTCCAGTTGAAACTCGTTCGTTAGGTTAGCCTGACTTCCGAGCCGACGCAACTTGGTCAAATTTGTCATCAAATAAAGTATTATCTTCTATTACAAACACCAATATTTGGTTTTTGTTTTAAATTTTCAGACTATTTTGGTTTTTAACTTTTGATTATTTTAATTTATGTATTTTCGAAATAATGTTTATTTTGGTCTCTATATCATTAAAATGTAATCCTTCTGATTATTATTTGTAAAATTTTAATATAAAGAAAACTATTTGATATAAATTTATGGTCACATTTTGAAAAATTTAGCGACTTAATTGACATGCTAAATTTTGATCAAAATAAATGAAAGTAAAAATGAAAATGAAGAAATAACAATGGTCACTTTCAAAAAGTACAAAGATGAAATCAAACATTTCAAAAGTATAAAAATTAAAATGAACTAAGTCGAAAGTATAAAAATTAAAATAATATAAAAACACATAAAAAAAATCTTATTTTCTACATTTCTCTTTCATTTTTGTTAAAAATTCAAAATGTCGGTGGACGAGAAATCTGAGGTACTAACCATAGTTCTAAATGTCCATCGACACGTCGACATTTCTATCTAAAACCTTAATACTAACCCTCGAGTAGTTGTTTACTAATACCAATATCTGGTTAGTTTTATATTCTCTATGATCTAAATTTTATATGAAAGCGTTATAATTTAAATTTAAATTTTGGGGTAGACGATATATATATAAGTTATTATAAAACATAGACTTATTGTTCTTTGTCTTGGAATTAGAGCTTCTTCGACTGTGGAACATTCTGGAGCCAATGATGCTCCATCTGGATGGGGTATTTTAAACATGCATCTTTCATAAATTTAAGGTATAGGGTTTAGGGTTTAGATTTGAATTTCCGACTTTAAAGATAAGACTATCCCCTTATGTCGATTTCAATTATAGATTCGTGTCATTTACTAATTTCTTTCCCATAGATATTTCTGCACATATCTAGAACTAAGATATTTTATATTACATATTGAATCTCTGTATTTTCTTGTAAATAAACAAATAGAACCACCACACGGATTTAGACTTTTCCAAACAAATAATGCAAGATTTGATAGATGATAGGTCCTTCAAATTGGTGGGCAGGAGTAGTCTTAAATTGTATTAAATGAGAAATTTGAAAAATCAATCGAAATTTAAATAGTACATTTTGTACAAATTTTGAGATTCAAATAAAAAGATAAAAATGTATGATTTAAATATCTGACTCCACCAAGTCTTGTGGATGCCTCCAAACTTGTCCTCATCAATAATCTTAGAATCTCCATTTATTTCCATAAATTTATTATAATTATAATTATAAATTTGTGTAGTTTTGGAAAATAATAATAATAATTACATCTCGACCCAAATATTGAATCAGAATTGAAAAGGATTATTTTGGATTTGGAATAAAGTCTTTAAAATTATGTATATATAACTATCTTGGATTTGGAAAGCAGAGAAGTTAATTTTATTGACTAGCACTTAATTAAAATGAGATCAATTTCAATTATATACCTGAAATTCATCTGCCAACATGAACATAGTTCAGCGGTATTTAACATGTCTTTTATCAAAGTTCATGAGTTCGAATCCCCAATCCCCATTTATAATAATAAAAAAAACAAAATACACAAAACCCATCATAAAAATTATAATTAAAGTTGAAAAAAAATCAATCTCTTTTTGAGAAGACAACCCATTATTAATTCAAAAAGTATGTGAGAAACATATATAAGAGTAGGATGTTATATGAAAGCACTCAAATTAAGAGAGAGGGAGAAAATAATGTCATAATTACAAAAGTATATTGACTAAAATGAGCCAGATGAAGAGACGATTTTAATATTGTCCCAAAGGTGAGATGCTGATCGAGAGATCTTTGAGAATAATGTATTATAATTATTTTGACATGAAAATTAAATTTCTCTAAAGTTATGAATGAGACCTGCACGTCTAAGAATGTATCCCTAGCTCACTCGAGGATGATCATTTTTAAATTATTTTGTTTAAATTTTAATTAATTTAATCTTCATTATAGTCCCTTTTGAGTGTGTACATGATTTTATTTTTTATGTAGGAAGAGGTTTAATTCTTTAATTTTTCTACATTTTCTTTTCAAATATAAAGACAAAAAAAAAAAAGTTAAAATAGGTAAGGTTTAAACTTAATTGCAATTTAGAATGCCTAGCTCGTATGTAGAAACATTTTCTAGTTAATAGTTTTTTAGCTAGAGACAATTTTATCGTAATTTCTTCTAATTAAAAATATGAATTAATTGTTCGATCGTACTTTCTTTTAATTAAAAATACGATTTTCTATTAATAATATATATCATTGATCTGTTGGACCAACAAAATTATTGTTAATGAGTAAATGAGATAAAATTGAACAAAATTTTGAAATACTTTTTTTTTTCTCTATGGTTGTAAATTGAACCCTTCTCAGATTAGTTGGGATGAAAGATCGAACTCACAACCTCTTGATTGGAGTTATATATCGATTATTGTTGAACTATGCTTGTTTTGACCTTAAATCGGTTGAATTTAAAGTATATTATTTTAGTAATTACTAAACGAATATGTCAATGTCAATGGTCTTGGTGTTGTCCAACTTGGTAGGGTTACAAAAAGACAATATGGAAAATATGAGTCAAGGGTCACTTTTAGCTTTAGTTTATTTTAGTATTTATAATTTTTCAAAATGCTTGTTTTGGTCTTTGTATTTAAAAAAAAAAAGATATTTTGGTCCTTTAATTTTATTTTTAATCTCATATTTTCTATCACAATTTTATTTTTGGAAAAGAGAACTACTTCGTTAAAGTACGTTAGAAAGATATAAAAAAACGGAGGCCTATAGGAAAGCATTTCAATTAAGAGAAATGGTAATAACATGATCATACTTACAAAAGAGGGAGGATTTTAAAGACCGATAATGCATAAATCTTTATACCTTCCCCAATGCAGGTAGAAGATTTCGAAGAATCTATTGATGTTCGGTTGTTCTACTTAGCCACCTACGACAAGGATACAAACACGACACTACACTCAATATGTTTCTTGAAATGTAATAATGACTTTATATTAATGAGTTTCTATTGTACGTAGACTTTGTGTTAAAATTCTAAAAGTAGGGACTAGCATGACTATACGTTTTAGAAGTACATGAACTAAAACGAATATTTTAAACGTACATTTACTAGAATGAATCAAAGTTAGTCACTCTCTTATCAGCTACTCAATTAGTGTTTTGGTGGCGGAGGGTGTGTCCAACCAGTCTATAAATACAAGTTCCTCTAGTTTGTGTGTTCCCATAAGAAAGAAAAACTAAAAATGAGTAGTGGTTGGAATTGGAAGGGTTTTAGGGTGGTAAGTTTCCTATTCTTCCTCATCATCATCTCCTCGGAGGTGGCTACAGCAAGGGACCTGAATCTCGCCCGCAAAAATGGTCAGTTTTGCCTTCAACTTCTTCTTTTTTCTTCTCTTTCTTTTGTAAGGTAATTAAGTGGTGGCTGACTTAGAATATGGAGGTTTTGGGCCTTGGGATATAATAATTCTGTATATGCAGCAGTGGCCATACATGAAGATGAAGGCAGCCTCAGTTCCTCACACTTTGGCTTTACCAGCCCCAGCACACGAAGCCGCTCGAGGCCCGTTTGCAATCGTCCGGGCAGTTATAAGTGCCTTGGTCCAAATCCAATTCCACGGCCTGAACCCTGCAACCGATATTCGCGGTGGAGCTGCCCCCCACCGCAAATTAAACCCCCGAACTGAACCGAATCGAATTAAATCGTCCCCTAAAACCTGTCAAGAATCCATATATATGAATTAAATTTACCTAATCTTTTGGTTGAGTGGTGGTTTATTCATCTCTAAGATGATATCAAAACGGGAGACCTGAGTTCAAACCCTTACCGAACGTGTCATTACCTTTCTTATCCCTCCTCTGTATCTTCTTTTTACTTTCTTCCTAATGAGCTTATTTCAGTTTGCGTCGTTTTTTCTCTTTTGTGTCATTTGGGAAGTTGTTCAGAACTACTGCATGTAATAAAAGGAAGATATATAAAGGGTTTTTCGCTATGTAGATATGACTAAATAGGATCATCCCGTTCTTATAAAATCGATCACTAAAATACTTCTAATGAGAATAAGGCTAAACAAAGCATAAAGGGGTTTCCATAAAATGAAAATTATTAGCCTCGAGATATGTGAGTATGTGATTGTCTAATAATAATGAACAAGAAATGCATGCTTAATTTCTACTAAATAGGACGTATTGAACTCATAATTCATTGGATGCCTTTTATACGACTTAAACTTTCGACTTTGAAAGAGTAATATTACTAACATGAGTTTAGCTCAATGGTAATTGACATCTCTGTTTAATTAAGAGGTCAGAAGTTTGAATCCTAAACCTAGACCCCTAAACATTAAATCCTAAAAAATACATTTTAGGATATAAAAATAAATGTAATAGAATGACATTGATTTTTAAATATTTTGAAAAAAACGACCTTTGTAAAATTTCGTGTGGGATAAGACCACAATTTCTATATTATATACAACAGTTTGAGCTAACTAGAATGACCAAATAAAATAGAGCATTTTAAAAATGGTCAAAAGTATGAGGGTAAAGATTACATTATTTCAAATAAACTTAGCTAATTTGAATCTCATACTTTCTCATTTCAAACAAAGATTACACTTTTTTTTTTTAAAATAAACAACTAATTATATGAGGCATGAAGATTTTGAATTTTCGATTTTGAAGATAAAACTATACTCATGTTGATAACAATGACAGATCTCAACCTTATCATATTCTTCACTAATTTCTTTATCGATGGATCTCTCTACACATTTTCTAGATACTCTTTATTCATTCAACTTTCCAATTTACTAAACATTTTTCCTCCCTAATTTCTTTCTCCACATATGCCACGCCCACATTTTTTATACATAAAAAAGGGAATATTTTTCGAAGAAAATGTTTATAACTTTTCTAAAAAATATATATTGAAATCAACAAGATAATATTCGATTCTTTTCTATTTTCGATCAAAAAAAAAATCGATTCTTTTCTAACCTTAGGTACAATAATATCTCTTCAACAAGCCGTTCTTAATCTTTGAATTTTCATAAATAAATAAATAAATAGTATAATGAGTGGCCCTAAACTAATTTATTCAAATATATCTAGAACGAAGATATTAATTTTATATTATATATATATATATATATATATATATATATATATATTTTAGATATTTTATATTACACATTGAATAATCTTTGTATATTATCGTAAATAAACAAATAGAACCACGATACGGATTCAGACTTTTCCAAACAAATAAAGCAAGATTTTTTTTTGACCTGAAAAAAAAATATATCAAATAAATCAAGATTTGATAGATGATAGGTACTTCAAATTGTTAGGCAGGAGTTTTAAATTGTATTAAATGGGAAATTTGAAAAATCAACCGAAAAAAATAGACCATTTTGTACAAATTTTGAGATTAAAATAAAAAGATAAAAATGTATGATTTAAATATCTGCCTACACCTGGTGGATGCCTCCAAACATGTCCTCGTCAATCTTAGAATCTCCATTATTTCCATAAATTTAGTGTAATTATAAATTTGTATGGTTTTGAAAATATATTTAATAATAATAATGACATCTCAAGGCGTTAAGAATCCACATTTCTAAAAGATTAAGATCTCGATACTCCAACTCGTTTTGAAATGGGATCAACGAATCTTATATCGTATAAGAATCCAACAAATTTAAACAATCATTCGTAAAAAAAAAATGAAAATCTTCCGACAACATTGATGAACTTAAATGAACCACCATAATAAAGGTTTATAATAGACAGACTATATACTCCTCTCATAGCCAATTAATTTTGAAATGAAATCTATAAATCTTATTAAGACGCCCGAAAATATTGAATGAGAATTGAACAAGAAAAATTGTTTTTTTGGAATAAAGTTTCTAAAAATGTGTTTTCATAACCATCTTGAAATTGGAAATAATAGAGAAATTAATTTTATTGACTAGCACTTAAAATGAGAATAATTTCAATTATATACATGAAACCCATACTAAAAATGAAAATTAAAAACGAAAGTATTTTTTTTCAAGAAAAAAAAAACCAAAGTATTTTTGGAAAATGGAGTTCCACAAATTTATGTTAAATTTGGAGAAAATTTGGAATGTTACCTTTTTCTCCTTGAATATAATGCATAATGTTTTCATAATTAAACCTAAAGGAAAGGAAAATATGGAAATTACGAGTCAATGATCTTGCTCGTCCAACTTGGTAGGGTCACAAAAGGGCAAGATGTGGAAAATTTGAGTCAATGGTCGTCAACTTTGGTAGGGTTGTGGTTGTGCGGCCATTATTATCCCTCTTTGATATCTTGTTTGAATTCGACGAAAGAGCCTGAGTATAATTAATTTTTCAAAATCACATCCAAGCGATACATTAAAAATCAATTTAGAGTGGTTTTAAATTTTCTTAAAATTAATTTTTTAATTTACCAAACATCAACAATAGAAATAGAAACCGATTTTTACAATGTGGTCATGTGAAAATCCCTCCCAATTACATGTACTAAAAAACAATTCTCTATCACGGTTCATTCCACCTTGTAAAAAATTTAACAGTAGACAACAAAAATCTCTGGTCATTCCCAAGCAGGAAAGCATTTAAAAAAATAAAAGAAAACAAATGGTCTTTTTCTATATATTTTTTATTTTTTTTATATTCGTGAGTGTTCGAGTCAGCTTACTCGCACACCTTGATGGCGGTGGCGTGCGTGCCGGGAGCTGGCACTGGGGATGGGCACATGCATGGGTGGGTGTTGGCGGTGGCGTGCATGGCTGGTGGGTGTGCACTGGGCGTGCTGACAGCAGGCAGACAAGACGAGGCTCGCAGTGACAAGGGCATGAGGCAGGGGTGTGGGCGCGCGGTAGGTGATGTGGGCAAGCGGTAGACAGTGTGCGGCATAGGGAATGGGTAGGACAACTGCCTGACCTTACAATATTTGGTGTAAAGAAACACATAATAATAACTAATTCTTAACGCAGGCAGGTAGCTATGATAAATTTAAACTCATTCCCTCCTAACTAATCCTAGTCCCTTCACACCAATAAGTCATCTACTAATGGTTAAAACAAGTGGTCTATTCTGAAAACAAACTCTTAAAACTCTTGTTATTGAAAATTCTCCCATCTTTGTTGCGCTATAAAACATAGTGGAAAGTGGAAACCTGTGTCACAACTCCATCCCCAACTACAAGTTCCTCTTGTTTCTTCATAAAGAAACTAAAAAATGAGTAGTGGTCGGATGGGTATTATTAGAGTGGTTGGTTTCTTATTCTTCCTCATCCTCATCATCTCCTCGGAGGTGGCTGCAGCAAGGAGCCTGAATCTCGCCCGCAAAAATGGTCAGTTTCTTCGCTTTTTAACTTCATTTTTTCTCTCTCTTCTTTTGTAAGGTAATTAAGTACTGTTTTAGTAACGTTCTTATTTCTTATTTCTGATTGCAGTAGCCATACATGGAGATGAAAGCAGCCTTAGTTCCGTAGGCTTTACCAGCCCCCGCACAGGAAACCCCAACAAACCCATTTGTGATCGTCCCGGGCGTTACTCCGATTGCATAGGCAAAAAACAGCCGCCGCCCTGCAATGATCCCTATAAACGCAACTGTGGTCCACCGCAGAGTAAACCCCAAAACTGAACTGCCCTTGAACCCAAAACCATAAACCCATCTCAAAACCCTCCTCCTCCTTTCTGTCTTCTCTTACTTTCTCATAATAAGATGTTTCGGTCTGTGTCGTTTTTTCGATTCGGTATAATAATTGTAAGGCGATGATTATTTAAACTTCTGATCTCGAAGGAAAGGAAGGAGGCGATGTTTTAATATTTGATCAGCTTTGTCCAATTGTGTGTGTCAAAATGGCAGTTAATGTGATGTTATGGGGATTTGTGTGTTTTTATGTCGAGTATTTACAGCTATAAAACGAGATGATATTGTTTTGAGCCATTTATTTTGAACACATGAAAATGAGATATCAAGCAATTCTTGGTGGAATGGAAATTAATAATATATTCGTAAAAAAGAAAGAGAAAATAAAGAATGAAAATAAGAGTACCCTCGATTATTATTGAAGATGGTGATGGGTAGAAATTATGGACGGATATGGATTGGGAGAACAAGACTTTTCAAAAATGTAAATGAAATGGAAGAGTAATATATTTATTTTTGGTTTCACCAAAGGTTTCGTATCAATGGAGATGTTATCCTTGTTTACATATATACCCATGATCGGTTCATTATATAAGTTGATGTGAACTTTTGGTCGCATTCCAAACAATCCTCCTCTTAAACAAAAAGTACGCCACTATTCAACTCGTATTCAAGCTAACTCCTCTTTTTTGGGGTATATAACTTGTTTAATAGAGCTCAACAATAACTACATCTTCTGAAACTTGCCACTTCATTGTTCAACACCTAATCTACCGAACACATGATGAAGTCAGCTGAAATAGAAGTAATGTTCTACACAGCCCGCTGCTAATTTTTTAATAGATGCTTATTAATATCATTTTTTTCTCTCTATTTTTATGTATTTTCCTCCCCCGTCTATAAAAAACTTAATGAGAACAAAAATAGTAATGGATAAAATATACACTTTTAGTTCTTGAAGTTTGAATTTGATTTCTATGTAGTCATGAAATTATAAAAGAGACTATTTTAGTCTCTGATGTTTGAAAAATAGTTTTAAATGATCTCTAAACTCATTTGACCGTTACTTGTGTTAAGGATCTCACATTGATAAGATAAGAGATTTTACATAGATTTATAATAGACATGAACTACTCCTCACATAAATATTAATATGACATCAGAACTCAAAAGCTCAAACGAACCCTGATCCAAAAAATGAACCCAAAAGAGGCACGAAAAATGAACTGTGATCTTTCAAAGTAGCTAGCTTAACTGTTGGACAGTGCCACCATTGTCAGCTTTGTGGAAAATGAAGAGGTTTTGGATTATAATATACATCTTTATGGAATACCAACAAAGAAATAAAAACTTAAAAAGAAATCTTTATTGATGGGAAGGAAATGAGAGTTTTATAGTACCACCAGAGTAACTCATTCCATCTAGACATTGACACACGATTGAGTGATATATTATTTTATTTATTGAATTTACGCTATATATTTTAAGTGTTTTAAATGCTGATGAGTTCACAAACAATAATAAGAGTAGTATGAAAATTATTTTGATACTAAAAAGAAAAAAAGAAAAAAAAATAAAGCACAAAAAGGGAGGGTGAGAGTTTTCAAAGAGAAGGGGTTATCAGAAAACCACACTCTTTGGCAAGATGCTTCAGAGCCACAGTTGATTTTCCCTATCGATTAAAGAGAATTAAATTTGAAGAAGCACTCTTTCCTTGGTTGGAGTTGCATCCCACGTAACTTGGATTCATGACCCAAATCATCCAAACTATCTCTTGGAGACTTTATTTTCAAAGCTGGTGCATAATGTTAGTCTTCAAACTAGTTGTCGTTAATTAATGTACATTATTGAGCTGACAATGCATCATTATAAGTGTCTTTAAAGTCAGTTGTTTCAAATTCTCACACTGGAGGTGTCCAGTAGCACAAAATCTAAGATGATTAGTATTATTAGTACTTCCACCCCTTGGCTTCTTGACAATTTTCTACAGGAAATTCGGCATAGAAGTTTAAATTTCATACTGTATCTTGTGGTGCAATGTTGTGGTTTCGATAATCTAACACATATATAGTTGGAGCGAAATTAGCGTACTTTCTCAAATTCTACTAGATCGAACATTTCATCTTTATAAAGATATCAATATTTTAGCTTCAACTTGGTCAATAAAATTTCATCTCTCTTATAATTATGATATTTATACCATTTCATTCCACTAGAGTGTTTTTTCATTCACTGCCTCCCTTTTATTTGTGTATGTTTCTCATATCTTTTAATAAAATGGTCGATATCTTTTCAAAAACGAAAATAGAAGTATTATTATGTATTGAATATTTTAGGTAGACTTTTTCAAACAAATATAATGCAAGGTCTAATAGGTACTTAATTAAAAAAGGATAGGTAGGGAATATATATATATATATATATCGAAAAAAATCGTAGGAAGGAATATTGATTTGTATTACATGGAAAATATGAAAAATCAACTGTTTAAAAGTAGACCATTTTTAGTAAAAAATCTAAAGATGAAAATGAAATTATATATATAAAAATTAAATGATTTGAACATTTGGGTGGACGTAGTTACGTATCGACACAGTCTGCTTGACTTCAATTTTATACTTCCGAGTCAACTTCTCAATACAAATTTGATCCATTCAAATTTGATTTAAAAAACAAAGAAAAAAATATATATATACATATAACCGAACTAAAAATAAAATAAAAATCTATGTGAAACCAGTTTCAATTTTAAACTGAAACTGAACCAATCAATAAGAAGGGTCAAAACGTACCTTTATTCAACACGTCAGGAATTCGAATTTCCCCACTCCACTTGTTGTACTAAAAAAAATTTCATGAAGGAACATATAACTGGCCAAATTAAAATATGAGTAATCTCTCTTCATTATACTTATTTTTGCCGAGTATTAACAACGATTTATCATACGTCGCAAATACGACTTTTCAAGTAATGCTTATAAGTCTTCAATTTGAACATGATCCAACTAGTTAAGATATATATTTTTTCAGATAAGAAACACGATATCATTAAAAGATGGTAACATATACCAGAGGAGGAGGCTAGATGAAAGTTCTCCTAATTTAGAGGAATGATGGATATATCATGATTACAAAAGAAACGTTGATTTTAACAACCAAGCTAGTTAAAGCCATTGTTTTAATGTCTTCCGAAAAGTGGGCTATTGATTTGCAAAATCCAATGAAGAGGAAATATTCCAAAAAAAAAAAAAATGTATGGGTACCGTAAAATAATATTGTTGACGTGTATAATAGACACGAGATATCCATCTTATTAACAATTGTTTTGAGATAAAACCCTACAAATAATATTGATATCATATCAGAGTTCAAAAATTCAAACGAGCATCCGATCAAAGATAAAATCTTACGATGAGTAAAAAGAACAACAAAAATCAATTAATTTTAAGATGTAGCACGTGAATATATTGATACTACCGGACAGAGAAGGGTTCAAAAGATTTAAATAAAAGGTGCCAACTGATTTAATATATACTATAACCTTGACTAAACGAAGAATATTGAATCATAGAAATATATACATATTTTCGAAAAAATAAAAACAAAAAAGACTCAACGGAACCTAACCATGTTGGATAAACTTGTGATCTCTCGCCTATAAAACCATTCCCAATCCCACTTCTCCATCCCCATCTCCAACCAATTTATAATCACTTCCTGAGATCTTGTTTCTGAACATCCATCAGAAAGAACCTTAAAATGACTTCTTCAAAGGGCTTCGCAATGGCGGGTTTCTTAATCGTCCTCCTTCTCATCTCCTCCGAGGTTGCTGCAGCAAGGAATCTCGCCGCAAAAAATGGTCAGTTTCTTCTCTTTTATAACTTGTTTTTATTTTGATTTTGGTGTATTTAATATTCACGAGTTCCATCTCAAAACCAATCGATTAGAGGGGTAGTACATATATTATAAATCCTTGTTAGTTTCCTTATTTTATACCTGTGTAATCTTTAACATGATTGTGGCTGTTTTTGACTCATTGATCTTGACCTTTACAGCGGTGAGCCTCAGTTCAGAATTCCAAACGCCGCGCACAGGTGACCGCAATAAACCCGTCTGCGACCGTCCCCGTTACGACGATTGTGTAGAAAAACCGCCGCCGCCTACAAAAAGCTGCGATCCTTTCAATCGGAACTGCCCATAAAATAAAATCATCACCATTTTCAATTCAAATCAAATAATAATTACTCCCCAGAGCTTTTACCAATAATAGTCTATTTTCAAGTTGTGTCGTTTGTTTTTTCCATTATAATGAGTGTGGAGTGGCAATTCGTTCTGTGATATCATGGGGAGATTATTGTGTGTTTGTGTGTCGTGTATATTTATAGCTATGAAATAATATGATGTCTTAAATCATTTAAGGCTATTTGATAATGTTTTTGTTTTCTATCTACTGTTTCTAACCAACCTTGTTTGATAACTATTTCCTTACATAACATGAGAATTGACTCGATTCTGGACTGACATAACATGAGAATTGACTCGAATCTGGACCGCGGATGTGGAGTTGACTAAAAGAGCGCATTTACACTAATAGGCAAAACATCCATTCTGATAGATTATCCACAAATAATATTATTTGATCTAAGATCACCCCGGACATGAAAAAAAATAGTTCTTAATGTTGCATCTCTTCCGAGATCGGGTCACAAATCAAATAAAAGATTCAAGAGGCCCTAAGCGGGCTCTATTTTCATGGTTTTTTTTGATGTATGGTAGAATGAGGAGGCATTATTACATACTAAATGTTTTTATATTCTTACTGAATAAGAATTGTACTGTGCAATTTTTTCATGTAGACTTTTTCAAATAAATTATGCAAGGTTTGACAGGCTATATACTTAATTTAAATGGAAGGTAAGAATCCTAATTTGTATTACATTGAATATATGAAAAATCAACTGTTGTAAATAGATTAGTTTTAGTAAAAAATTTAGAGATTAAAATGAAATTATATTTATAAAAAGTATATGATTGTACGTCGATTTAGATGACCAAGATGAACCAACGAGGATTTAATATCATCACTCATGGACATACATCATCCAGTTTGACTGCAATTTTATACTTTAACAGTCAACTGCTGAATAAAAATTGATAAAGTGAACCACTAAATAAATAAATAAAAATCGGCTGCAACGCAATAAAATTTATCCAAAACCGAACTCAAAAATAAAATAAATTAAATTGATCTAAAATCGTTTCAATTTTTTTTTTTTGGTTTGGGTTTTGGGAAAATTCGTGAGCTAATCATCAATATTAAAAATGGATCAAATGAATGGAATTGCTAACCTGAATACATATAACCTGAATTTGAGAATTCTAAACCAGTATGACCAAGATATTCAAGCCTTTGTCAACTGTGCGATCTCAAACCAGAGGTTGTGAATTCGATCCCTACTCTACATGTTGTAGTAAAATTAATTTTTTTTAGTACTTAACTCGAACATGGGAGGTATGAAGCGTACCAGAAGGTTCGAATTTGAGATCTCCAAACCAGTATGACTAACAGACTTCAAGGTCTTGTCAACTCGGACTGTAATGCCATACATATTATTCAACTATATACTATGAGAAAAAGACTCCCTCGTAGGTCCCACATTTTTTTCATGTTATATTTTCAAAAACTACCTAACCTACCCTATTAGCAAATAAAAACCCTAATTCGACAATTAACCAAAACCCTAATTCCATAATTAACCAAAACCCTAATAAAAGATCGATAAACCCATCGCCGTTGGTCTTTAAATACCAAACCAAGACGAAGGCTTCCCTTCCATAAACCTCCATTTCACAATCACAAATATCAATCTTCAAAAACCCTTACAAGATGAGCGTAGAAATTCTAGACAGCGCCACCATAATCAACTTCGTGGAAGACGAGGAAGCATTCGGCGCGTGGATCAGAGAGCGTTTCAGGCACCTCGACGCCGACCGTGACGGCGTGCTCTCCTATGCCGAGATGCTGCAGGAGTTGCACAGCCTCAGAGTCTACGAAACCCACTTCGGGGTCGATGCGAAACCCGACCCTGACGAACTCTCCCGCCTCTACGGGGCCGTGTTTATGCAGTTCGATCGGAACTCAAACGGAGAAGTTGATTTGGAGGAGTTCATGGCGGGAACTAAGAGGATCATGGTGGCCATTGCTGAGGGAATGGGATTCTTGCCGCTCCAAATGGCGTTGGAAGAAGATGGATTCTTGATGAAAGCCGTTCGATCCGAGAAAAGCCGCCAAAGTGGCTGCTAATTGAATTCTTCTTTTGATCTTTCTCTTCTTTTCTTTTAATTTTGTTGTCAAAAAGAATTTGACCAGATTAATAGAGAGATGAAAGAGATTAGTTGTTCTATTAATTGGGAGATTGGACTTTGAGAAAGAAAATGCAATTTGACTCTCTATGAAGATTCATGTGATCACTCTCTAATTTGGTATGCTTATGCTATATTTAGTTAATAAGTAAATTTTTTACTTAATATATTTGATTCGACATGTGTGGAAATTTTAATTAATTGTAATTTCAAACTTTCTAATTTTGTTTTAAAGATTCATGACCATAGTTATGAACAATTTTATGACTAGACGAGATAATTTTTGTGTAGTGCATTTTGTTGGGTGGGTTTTTTTTAAAAGTATTTTCATGGTTTATTGTCTTGTTAACTATAATTTGTGGCTAACTTTTTAGATTAAGCTAGTTTTGAGGGTATTTATTTCGATGATGAAATAAAAAATTTAAGATTAAAAAATAAATTAATTAGAACGAAGTAGAACTGCCATTTTTGTAATCTTTAAATTAAAAATAGAGATTAAAATGATGGGTTTTAACTGTTTTGTGAGAATGGTAGAGCCAGCCATATTGTGATCATACTTTTTAATAATTCATGGCCAAGAAGGCCAATAAAACGAGTCAATTTCTACAGTTTTATACACAATTTTCTTCTATAGAGTAGTTAAAGTTAGGAGCAATTAGAGAGAATTATAATGGGTGGACAGTAATTTTTCTATATTTACAAATGGCATAAGAAATAAAATTATGCAAATATGATAATTTTGTAAGGGAGAGGCAGAGTGTATATAACATGTCAATAATGGTCTAATATTACAGGTCATTAGATAAAGAAACGTGGAATTTAGATATGTTGATGGATTTTTTCAATTTCCAAATTTTTTTAGCTTGGACTAAATTTGCTATTATTTTTCTTTTTCAAATTATTATACTTAATGGTAAGAGACAATAATGTTTTAGGGGTTTTATTTTTATTTTTTTTTTTATACTTTGATGTATCAATTTTTACCTTAAGTTTTCAATTTAATAAAAATTTGATCAATACACATACTGATATGATGTTGTGCAGAGTGGTACATCAATTTTTCTACCTATACCAGGGTGTGTATCGATCAATTAAGGTCTAGATGAAATTAAAAATAATCGATCAATAATTATAATTTAAAAGTTAACCTTACTTGGGTTGGAATAATCAATTTGTACTAGATACGTGTTTTTATCCTAAGAGTATGTTATTATTTTAACAATTATAAACCAAAATCTATTGAAAATAAAAAATGACAACATTTAAGATAAAATTGAAACACTTTTTTTTTAAGTACAGTAGTTATTTAATTTTAAGGTCCAAATGAAATTAAAAGTAAATTAAAAGTTTAAGTACAAAGTTTGGTTTTTTTCCCCAAATCTTTGATAATTTATCTTTTTTTTTTAAAGAAAATCTTTGGTAATTATCTAAGTATACTTAAATATGACGTTCTCAATAATAATTGAGTAAATAATAGGTAATTATTGAAATGTATAATTTAACAAATATTGTGGTTTAATTGGTAATTTTGTACATTTTATAGACAAACTAATTAAGATGTCTGGTGTGCCATGTCGTTTTGTTTGATATAATCCAATATTATATCCATGAGATTAAATAAATATTGTTTTTTTTTATGATGATTTATAGGTGCACCCCACGAAGATGCCATCAAGATTTAAGATGTCAATATTGATGAAAACTAAAAAAAAAAACTCATGAAAATCATGGAAATGTATAATGGTTTGAATTAGTAAATGATTAACTGGCTTAATTAGGTAATAATTGATCTTTTTAATCTTCACATCTAAACACTTATCTAAAAAAATATAAGTAATATTTATATAAAAATGTCAATATTAACATAAAATTTTAGAAAATCATGAACAATTGATGAAAAATATTTAATTAAATTAATAAATAAGACTTTAATTGTGAGAAAAATCAACCTATCTAAAGATATTATTTAATTAATATTCATGTGGACAGAACCTCGCGAATTAAAAAATAATAATATGTGGAAAATTAAAAAGATAAAATAATTGTATCACGTAATAATGTAAAATATATAAATGAAATGAAAAAATGAAAAGAAAATGTAGTGACTAGACCAGTGAGCGATACTGAAACTTTTCTTTCGTTGCAGACATCGTATAACGTTTAAAATTTTGGGCTCTTTCCATTTGTTGGGCTTTTTTCATTTTGGCCCAAGTAAAAAATTTTGGGCTATTAGTTTGATATATTGTCGACTTCTTCATATTTCGAGAAATCGACATGTTGTCAACAAGGTGGAAAAATGAAAGCTTCCCTTGTCTGGTATGTTGACAGCTAGACATGTCGACGTGTTGAGCGTCATTTCAAGTAAAATAGATACGAAGAAAAAAAAAATAGGGCTAGTAATCTCGAAGGTTTGAGAATAGTATGTCGTGCTCGGGGTCCTTGAGATCTATCAACATCCTCTATTTTTTCCTCTGTGCTGCCAATAGTAAAGCATGATGACATGTTGGGATGTTTAAGTGTACTCGAGCTTATAGCTGGGTTTTGCTTTTGATTTTACCTAAAAGATCTCCTACCAATAGAGATAATTGTCCTCCCTTATATACCATGGATCACTCATTTCCCTAGCCAATGTGGACTTTGTTTGCACTCCTTACAAACCCAACAATGTTAGCATCATTTAAAAACGATGTGTGGTTCAACGATATTAAAAAATTATTTATGAAAAAAATTGGTATGAGCAGATGGATCTACTGTCATTTTTTTCAAAAATATACCATTTCATTAAGAAAGTAGGCGAGGAACGTACAAAAAGAGGAGACTATATAATGCACTCCAATTGAGAGAAATTGTAGAAAGCGTATAATTGCCAAATAAAAAAAAGAAAAAAGTGATTTAGAAGACCATGATGAGACTACGATCACACCATCATCCCATATAAGCGCATTATCTAGAGACATCAGAAAAAGTGTGGTTGTTACGCTCCAACCAAACATTCCAAAGGATCGAACCTATAACATTGCTCCAGATAATGCCCCTTCCAGATAATTCCAAGGGATCTACGATCATTTGTTATCCACCGTGTAAGTATCATTTTTTAGCAGATTAAAGAATTATTTATATATATAAAAAAATCATAGTTTGAACGGAGAGATCTATGGTATGTCATATCAATATCATTTAAAAAATATGTGAGATCTAACGGTTAAGGACAATATTGTCGGCTAGGCCTCATACAATGAGATAATTGTGCTCGTATATATACCATCGATCATACTCTTCTCCAATCAATGCGAAACTTTATTTGTATTTTCCTTACAAACCCAACACTATCCATGTTTAAAAATTATTTAGAAAACAAAAGTTCATAATGTGAACATAGGTGATGGGCTGTTTCATGGTGCATTGTACAAATTGAAGAACCTGACACACTTCCTTTCCTATCAGGTCAACCAAATTTGACTATGTTAACTTCACTCCTTTCTCAAATTATTCTATAACATTTCTTTTGAAAGCCATAAAAATTGTTATTATTACTTTAACGAGATGAATTATCTTAAAATGTTAAATAATTTTTTTTGATATTTCGATCCTAGACTATATAAGTTTGTTAATATTATGAGTTACGTATATAAATTTATACATGGAAAAATCGTAAAAACTTGGAAACTGATAATAATCCATATGTTACACAAGTGGTCACCCCATTCTTTCACATTAAAATAATTTCCTCAAAAGGCATTGCAACTCTGATGAATTAGACCCCACTCCATAAATGCAAGGATCCACTTCTGAACAACACAATGAATAGGCAAATTTCAAAGTTTGACAATAATGCACCCATTGCAGACACATATCAGAGATGAAAAAGATACGGAAAGACCCAACTCTTCAATCCTCGCATGAGTCAATACACTCTTTTTTTAATCACGGGAAATTGGAACTTTGCTCTCTTATATTTAGGATATCCACACCCACCATAGAACTCTGACCTGAAACACATCAAATTATCGACCAAGTTGTGACTTACATAGAATCTCTTGCTTTAAATACCAAGTTAAATTATCATTGCTTTGTTTTTGGTTTCACCGTATCCAAAAGTCTCATATCAATTATTTACAAATCCAACGAGTTATACTCTAATTCATGTAAAATCATAACACAGAAGCTTTAAGTTATGAGTTCCGTTATAAATGTAATGATTGATCAATATTTTAACGAATTAAACCTTCTAGGGATGGTTTTAAAATGTCTTTAATTCTTTTTTTATGTGACCTGTCAATACACTGTACCAGTTATATTGTATTAAATGATTTGTTTCCTAACTTATCTTCAGCATTCATTTGTAAGTCGATCCCCTCCCTTGATTGAGAGAGAGAGAGAATGCGTTAGGTGTTAGATCTTTGGGAGATTTCTCTGAGTGTTCTTTCAAATATTTATGTCGGCCTTGCCCTCCTCTGCAACAGCTAATTCACTCATTTTCTAATATTTCCACTACAGTACTTTCTTAAATGGTCATCGTTTTGCAACCAAAATAATCATATTAATATGTTAATCATGTGTAATTTGGTTATAATTAATTTGAATGACTTTTACAAGGTTAGACTTTAGAGTATAGTTTGATCAAAGATATTCCATGCTCAAGTCAGTTGTAAGCTTAGCAAGGAGACCTGCAAACAATAAAAGATGTTCCATGCTCAAGTCAGTTGTAAGTCAATCTTTAAGTCAATTTCAAATAGAATTTCATACCTGCTTAGGTGAAATAAGGATGTATCTATAGAGGTTCGGATGGAAATTCCCAAGCAAAAATCACGGCGAGGATCGTGGTGCAATACTAGAAGTTATATTCTGTTTGAATTACTCTCGTATATACGCACAAATGGGCACTTCGACCTGGAGTTCGAGCTCATCGCGCTCTAGGATCTTCCTACTACCATGGCTAAATTTAGGTTGCCAACCTTCGGTAATAATCAACTTAAACAAAACGGTAGAATTGTCGAAATTTTATTTAACTTTATATTCGTCTCCAAATTCGTTGACCAAAAGTTATTTAATACACTATGATCACCACGTGTCCGTTTGATTTATTAAATCTTCGATTTAAATATGAAAGTAACACCACGTGTCAGCCATATTAAATAGTATTTTTGACCATTGACAAGACAATTTAATGTTACACGTACACTAATTGTATAAAAGCAATTTTCAAAACTGTAGAACCATATATTAAACTAATTTATTTTTTATATGAAAAGTACCCTTTCATTAGAGGTGAATTAAAATAATTTATCACTAAATATTCTTTTACAGAAGTAATTATAATTTAAAAAAAATACTTATTGTAAGAAATTTCGAAAGAAAAAACAATTTAATGGGGTCATCACACCCCTAATAACCATGAAATGATATAAGTTTAAAATCTTAGTTAACCCTCTAATAATTAGTACTACGATACAAGTACGAAGTACAATTTTAAATTCTCTCTCATACATATAATCCTAATGGCGAAAATCGTCAACTACATTAATTAAAATTAACTCGGTTCTTAATTATAAGACTGTCTTTAATTGCCACGTCTGAATTGTAACCCATCCCCTTTTGCTCTTTCTCGCCTATAAATACATGGAGAAGAATGCAAATTAATCATCTTCATTATTCTCCAAATTACCAGTTTCTTACTGAAATTAAGAAAAAGAAAAAAAGAAAAATGAGTTCCAAGGCTTTTGCTTTCCTCGGTCTTCTCTTCGCCATTGTCGTCGTCATCTGCTCGACAGCGGTGGCAAACAGCCTCGCACCGACCTCCATTGACGAGGACAACAATGGTAAGTTTGCTTCATTATTTAACTCGAGGTGGAGCTAGAAAATTGATAGGGAGGAATAGAAAGAAATTTAAGAAACTGATGAGAAAATTTAAAAATCTTAATTTTTTTAACATAATTTTTTTTTCCTTTTTTGTAAAATTGAAGACCAACATAGAGAGAAGGCAATCATTCATCTTCTTTGTTTAATTTTTCGCTCTTTTACATCCTAGTTAAACATGACATGATTAAATTGTCGGTGAATCCAAAAGATTAAGCTGAATGGATTACTTTTTGCTTGTTTAATCCATAGTTATTTTAAACAATAATGTTGCAGAGGTCACAGCCGAGACCAATAGGGCAGTAGAGGATGCCAAGTTTAGCTGGGGAGGATCATTTGGGGGAGGATTCGGTAGAGACTACCCCGGACCGGGTGGCTACGGTGGCTACCCCCGACGGGGGGGCTATGGTGGCTTTGGTGATTACGGTGACTACCCTGGGCGCGGTGGCTACCCTGGGCGTGGTGGCTATGACGGATTTAGACCTGGGGGAGGTCTTTGCGGCCAGAACGGTTATTGCTGCGGTTTCCGTGGCGGGTGCGACCGGTGCTGCAGGTACTACCCCGGTGGAGGGTTAGCAGAGGCAAGACCCTAAGGCAGTGTATGGGGGTGGGCAGGAACAAAGTTCAAATTTTAGGTTTGGGGAATAATATTGTAAAGTTGAGAAATAAATATGCATGGGGATGGCATGGCTGGATTTTTTCCTCCTTTTGTTTGGGTTTGAGTGTTGCTATATAGATTTGCATTTTGCAAATTAATATATAGCTAAGTTGAAATTAATTAGCTTAAATAATGTTGTACATCTTCGTCGCGTCGTTATAATTAGACAAAAAAAAAAAAATCAATATGACTACCTCTTCTCGTAACTGGATGTGCATGATTAAATTACCTTCTTTAATTGTACTAATTATATTGAATAATTTCTCTAAAATAAATAGTTGAATGTATTTGGTTCATGTCACCAATAATTTAAGAACAAACTAATATTTTTTAATATACATAAACATGATAAAGTCACTTTAAACATTGGAATGTAATTCAATAATCATGTGTATTTAAAGGAAAAATGTTTTAGAAAAAATAAAGAAATGAAAAGAATAAAAGTCGTATGGTCGCAAAAACTACGTGTGAATTGGATAGGAACTAATTGAAGTAGTTCTGACGATTCAATAATATTGTTAGGAGTTTTTAGTTGGGATAAAATATGACTAGCTCATCATTAATATGCATATAAATACATATCGTACATGTCTCAGAAGCATGGATACAAACATGATACGACACAAACATAGTAACACGTCATTTTTTTGAAAATCTAGGACAAAGACAAATTTATTAAATATACATATATTTTAAAAAATATAAATCATTACAGGTGGTTCATTGGTTCAAATGAACTAGGATAAATTGATAGGAAATGAGTTTAAACCTACCAAAAGTTTGCATGAACACTCATGGATATTAAAAAGTCATATTTAAAAAAGAATATATAGCATTTTTATATAAGGAAATCTAAAGTAAATAATTTGTGGATTTTTATTCTTAATTGTTTTTATATTTATCTGTATGTCTATTTATTAGGCTTAATAAGTGTTCAATACATACCTAACCAATTTTATTTTCATAATTCATATTTAATTTAATTTAATTTACACAACTAATATCTAATAGAATATATTTATTGTGCTAACAAGTGTCTGACACGTGTGTGTCTAACCAAATATTAGAGTGTTGGAGTATTCTGCACAAATTAGACACGAATATGTTAACAAAACTAAAGTGTTTGTGTTTTCTTAAAATGATCTCAACAAATATTTAATGGCGTACATTCCTATCCCGTTAAATAATGTTTGATAATTGTTTATATTTTGTATATATTTATTTTTTTCACTGAGTCATTTTTTCATCTTTATTACTATAGGACCATTTCAATACACAAAACAAATAGCCAAAGCGAATATAACTCAGCAGTAATTGACACAATCTCCAACCAAGAGGTTGTGAGCTCGAGTACTAAAAAAAATCACAAAACAAATATAAGAATTGTATATAGACCATAATTTATGGAAAATATTGATAATTGTTTATATTTTGTTTATTTTTCAGGTGTGTTTTCATGACATTTTTTAGAGTAAATAATGTTAAAAAGACATTCTTTTTAAAATTTTATATTTACATATAAGAATTTTAATATTTTACTTAAATATTAATCTTTAAAGATCATTGAATTAGTATTAAAAAAACCATTAAATAAACCTTTTTAAATAATTTTAAAAATAACAACAGAAAAATATGTTCAAATCCAATTTTTCAATCCATCTCTTAACTAATTGGCTTGAGTTAAGTTGGGTGCTTGATTCTATTATATTCAAATTTTAATACATGAAAATAAATTTCTTTTACAACATTCTCATAGTTAAGGAAGGCTGGAATTGCCAAAATGAGCTGAATTCAGCATTTAAAAAAAGGTTGGATATTTTTTAAAAAAAAAACCCCCAATTAGCAAAATCTTTTTTTAACTTTGTAATTGAAATTATTGACTTCTTAAAATCTTTTGTTTTTCATATATCTTTCCTACATATATGAATTCAAAAAAGGCTTTGTTGAGGAGAAATCTTGTGTTCTATGTACTTTTTAATATTTTTATCACATCATACCCGTCATGCCCCTAGCTTTTTTATACCATTTATCCATTATTATATTATCACCCTTTTATTGAACAAATTAAATAAAGTTTAAATTAAAGTTGATTTGAAAAGTTGACTAGGACTTTAATGGGGAGTAAATAACAATTTAATTAATCAATTAATTGATTTTAAAAAGTAATGGTGGTCCTTTTGAAAAAAAAATTAGCGGTGGTTGTAAACTGCTGTCATTTATCCATATATAAAGTTGTTTTTACAAAATTCAAATAACTAAACTCATCATTTATTAATATTGACTTAAAAACAATGTGGTCTTAGAAAGATCTTATAAAAATTGCATGATAAGTACATTATAATATATATATATATACATATATGTATACGTATATGTATTCAAAGTGTGTGGTTGTTTAAAATGATGTTAAACATTAAGACCCGCATAATAACGATTTCTTTTGTAGGAGTAAGATGAAATCTTATTTATTTCTTCTCATATCTGGAAAATTATGTTTTCTTCCTCACAATTTTATTTGTGAAAAAAAAAAATTAGGTTTCATTTGATAACTATTTTCTTTTTGGTTTTCTGCTAGCTCTTTAAAATTAAGTTCGTTAAACTTCTCGGAATTGAATAGGTTCAAGGATGATATYATAATCGAYACGACTTCTTGGTCAACAAAATCTCCTCTTTTTGTTATTAACTGAAAAGCTTTCATATAGCTTCCTTTTGAATACGTATATATATTTCTCACATATTTTCTTTTGAAATGAAATATTTTCTCTTTCTTTTGGAACTGGGCTAATAATTCATATTTGTTTTTAAACAAAGTGAAAATACGCTAAGAAAATTGTAAGCAAACTCATACTTTTAAAAACAAAAAACGAAATAGTTTATCAAATGGAGCTGTAGTTTTTAAAATTTGACTTTTAGAAAAAAACAAAGTAAATAATTACATTGTCAGCTTTTTTATTTTAGTCAAAATAATGTTTATCAGCTTAATTTAAAAGAAAAACAAATGTACCAAAAATCATGCCCTGACTTATTAATTGTCTTATACCATAACATTTTATTCTAAATATTCTTATGGTATTTTTTTTTTTANAGCTAGATAAATTGTTTAATTAATACTTCTCTATGGTATATGGTGTTCTCATCTCGAGTGAATTGTTTTATTTAAAAAAAATTAAGAAACTGCCATTAGTATATATTAATAAAAAAATTGCTTCTATATTTAAATAATAGTTTTCTTTTTAAACAATATTTCATTTATGAATTGACCATAGAAAATTTACCCATAAATAAACTAATATGTTTTTTAATTAAATTATATAGAATGGAACTTTCAAATTCAAAAATAACACAACTCTAGTATATATAAGTATGGCCACTCATTTCAGCCATTAACTATTTGGATAATGTTGAATATTATTGTGATTTAAAGAAACTATTTTTTCTCTTTTGCAATATTAAAATACAGGAATAAGATGGATAAGAAGAGACATTAATAATGTCTAACAATTTAAATTTTATTTAAGTCGGCAAGAAAAGTTCACTTAATAACTCAAACCATATGATCAATACATTAAAATAATTAAATTAGCGGAATTAATGTATGTCCTTAAATTCAACAAAAATTAGTTAAGTATAGAAAATAGCAACCAAAGAGAGAAGTCATTAGTAATAATATTACCATAATTTTTCTTATTTTATTTTTAATAGCATGGATAGGTAAGAGAGAGGAAARATTGCAGGACCCATTTTAAGTGGAGTGGGGATTTCTAAATTTAATTATAGACAATATTTTTTCTTAAAAAAAATTAATACTAAGGATGGGGATGGATTAACTTTTTTTTATTGACGTTGAGGGAGAAATCCGAGCATGCGATGTATGAGGATTGTGGGGGTGACCGCTGGAAGAGGGATCACAAAAAACATGTAGCGTACGAGCAAGGGAGGACGAAGGCTGCAAACCTATTATGCACTACGGGAGACGCAYCGCAACCTGCAGACGACAGTTTGCATAAATGATAGATTGGCAGGTGGTAGAGTGTTCAGTGCGCATCAAGAATGTGTCGTCGCCTGACCGTTTACACCATGTACGATGAGGAGCATCGTTGCGCCACGTACATAATGTCTGCCCTAGTCGGTCACGGACACCTATAAAAGGGAAGAASAACCACCACCACTAGGTAAGTGAAAAATATCTCACTAATTCCCTAAGAGTGCTCTCTGCTACTTTTGTTCGGATTGTTAACTTAACCGTCAGAGTCCATTAAGCGGGGCACTGCATCAGTGTCGAGAATCATTGTTGTAAGTCCGTTTGATCGAAGACGTTCTRTTCCAAAGAATACGTGGACCTCTCCAAAACTCGCCACCAATAATTAATATTTGCTTACTTCTTAATTATAAAACAACTAAAAACACTTTAGTTTTTAACAACTAATTCCCACATAAAAAAAACCTACTTTAATTTTCCAAAATTTAAAAACATTGAAGCATTGATAGGGTTTGAAACTTTTCTTCTAGGTCGGAGAAAAGAAGACATATTTTGGTCCTATCCCATTCGGATGTCGTAGAGAAGCAAGTTGAAGGAATATCCTTGAAACCAGCTTGTTATATCCCTACAATTTTAGGTCATTGTCCTACAAATAATACCCAACGGACCCCATTCATAAGCAAGAGGGCAAAAAGCTAAGATTAATTAAGATATTTCGTCCATGTGCTACTACTCCATATATTCAATTCAATATTGACCTATAAGTGGTGGTTGAAGATTAAACAAAGATTGTGACACCTAAATAGACGAGATTAAGGTACATGACTAAATCGATATCACAAAGGAATAAAGAAAGATTTAAAAGAGTTGATAGTTATTACCTATCTGTATGGAGTCTTAGGTCTTTCAAACAACTCAAGTCAAGCAGGTGACGCAATCAGGTCACAGGAATGCTTGAGAATATCGGTTGAGACACTAGGTGCCGAATTCAAATTTCAAATCCTAGATTTGAGGTGTAAAAAACAAAATTAAAAAGCTTTTGTCTTCTTCAATTAGTAYAAATTCGGTCGATATAGACAATTCGAGGAAGGAAGCGTGCAAAAGGTTAATGAGACAATAAAAAAATACCTACTTTTGAYGCTGCATTATGCCGACCCTAGATGCTACTTATGAACTGGTCAGGCACGGAAACCATTGAATGGGGCGGCTTTCATCTCATCTGTTTGATAGGTTTAAAGTGATTTCCTACCTTTTAGAACCAAAGAAGTTGTTTGTTTAAAAAATTACATATTTGTGAATAATAATTTCAATACCTCGAATAACATAAAATTCATCCACTAATAAAGTAGAGACTTCGCCTACTATCTAAGGTTTACAAATTTTGTATACGACTTCTTCTAGTCTCTATTTTATTTTTTAAATATAAATGACAATCGAAAAATTATTACATAAATTTGAAAATGAATTGAAACTAAATTTAAAGAGAACTAAAAGTACTTTATGTAACATTTAGAGATGATGAATCTAACTTTTAAATTTGTTTATAACAATAGATGGAATTGCCAACAAAACGAGCTGACTCAACGATAATTGACATATATCTCTAACTAAGGGGTAAAAAATAGATAGAATTAATTTCAACATTCGGACGAAAGCTCCCGGCAAGAGTCAAGGTTTTTTTTTCTCCTCCTTTTAAGTTATAATTTGAAATGTTGAGCTTGTGTAAAGAAAAAAATGTGAACAATTTCTTTTTTAATAAAGATAAGTAATCATGCAGTAATTATTCCTCTAGTTAAATAATATTTTGATACACATGATATGTTAATATAGGTCAACATGAACATACCTTTACCGGTTAAGGTATCTCTACTTTCTCTTAAGATCATATAAGTTCAAATCCTTACCCACATATGATAATATTCTAAATAAATAAAACTTCACTTTCAATTTTGTGATTAATGTAATAAAAAGTGGAGGACCACCGATGGGTAGTGGCATATATTAGTACGTTTATACTAAATGGGGATGCCCTTTCCCAATTTGAACCCTRCAGGACGCGTAGTCAGGACTTCCCCATCCCACACAACATCGATTCTAAGTTATAAAAAAAGAAAAACAAAAAGTGGAGAGACCCAGCTGCGAGATAATTTTCAAAGCTTAAAGATCAATTAGCTAAACATACAAAGTTTAGGAATCCTATTAGTACTTTTCAAAGTTCCAGAAACCTAATGGCACGTCATCTTAATAGTCCAAGTACGGTAATTTAACCGTTAATATATTATTTTATTTGAGCTCATTCTGATGGAAAATAAATGAGAGCAATATGAAAAAGATTCCGCACCACTGCTGTAATTTACTCCAAAAACTTACCTCTCCTTGAGAAAATTGAGACCACCACACCAACCCAACTAGACTACTGGGACAGTGTCTTTAATTTGCCATTTAAATCCTTCAAACCCCATCTTCTTCCATCCTCCCCTATAAATACCATTTCAAATGCTGCAAATTTTCTCATTCCATCTCCAAATCTCCTCAATACTTTCCAATGAATTCCAAGGCTTTCATCCTCCTCGGCCTTCTATTCGCSGTCGTCGTCCTCCTCTCCTCGGACGTCACGGCAAGAGACCTAAAAGGCGGTAAGTTTCGTCTCCTCCGCACATTTTTCTTTTATGTTTGGAAGTAATATAAAAGTATTTGTAAGAGCACTTTTAAAATGCTTTTGACCCAAGTGATTGATCAGAAAGTACTTAATCGTACACATCACTAAACGCTTGTGTTCTGCTGTAGAAACCGTGATGGAGACCGACGGAGTAGAGGATGCCAAGGACCGGAGTTATGACCGTGGCCACGGTCATTATGGCGGAGGCTATGACAGAGGCCACAGTCGTTACGGTGGAGGCTACCCGGGACATGGCGGCCACTATGGAGGAGGCTACCCGGGGCGTGGTCGTTATGGCGGTGGACGCCATTGCCACCACGGTTGCTGCGGTTACCACGGCAGTTGCGGGAGGTGCTGTAGCTATGCTGGTGAGGCTGTTGATGTAGAACCCCAAGCCAAGCCTCACAACTGAAAACAGTTGCTTCAAGTAGAGGGCCTTCTGAAGTTGGTGTTGTACTTAAGTGTGAAGTTAATGAATAAAATCATTGGGCTGAGGATGCCTTGTATGTATCCTTGGCCAAGTAAATGTGACTTAAGTTCAAGTGATTAGTTTAATCTCTTTTGTTGAGATTAACAGTGTGTTATTGAAGCTTTATTAGCATATATCTAAGGTTAAATCATAGTATTGTGTGAAGAGTTTTTCGTAATGTTTTTTTTTTTCATCAATTCTCAACTGATCAATCAAATTAATGCATGCAGTTATATGCGTGGGAAGAAATCAAGCTCCGCTTCTGTGTTTTTCTTGTATTACCTTAATACCGTTTTTCATATTTGCTCCGACAGAATCTTGAACATATTTTTTTGTGGTTTGAGAGAGTTGATTCAAGATATCCTACCTGACCACAAACTCCAAAAAAAAAATTTAGTTTAAGGATAAGGTGGCACTAACCAGCAAGAGAAAATGTTCCTAGAGATAGGCTAAGACGCATTTATTATAGTGGGCAATCTTTCCCTTTTTGTTATTGAAATAATAAATATATGGACAACTTTGTCCTTGTTGCTTTAGGAAGTGGCATGGGTGCGTTAGCATCCTCCATTCCACCGCCCCGTCCTATCCATCCATTTTTTTTTTCTTCAAATGGATATTTAGGAATCTCTCTTGTTTGTGGATGGTTGGAAATAACTCATCTATTAAACTATAAACTTACCCATTACAAACACACAAACAAAATATAGACCATATAAAATATTATATTCAAGTTTCTCCCTTCCTATGAATTTATGGTGGTTTAGAGAGAGATTCGGTTAAAGCTAAATTCATTCGACTGACGTTTTTGAAAATTTTTAAATCATTTTGATTATCTAATAACAACTATAGAAATTTGAAAAGTATTTTTAATCCGTAAAACAACTTTTCATATTTTCAAAAGTTATCACGAACTCACTCTTATGGTCTTACTACAGTGACAAATACTTTTATATATATAATTACCATAGTGATAAATTGTTAAAACTGTTGTGGAGTTACTACGGAGAAAGAAAAGTTGGAGAAAAATGAAAAATGAAATTCTAGACCAAATCTTGGAACCTTCCTTCCTTGTACCATGAACGCAGTTCCAGACTGTTACTCCAAACTAGGTTTGGGCGAGGAACGTCATTCCTCGTTCCAGTGGTCGTTCCCCACAGGTCTCTTTGTTCTTGAGAGATTTGAAGACGATGGTCTGTTAGGTTTGTAAGAAAAATGCAAACAAAGTTTCACATTGGCTAAGAAAGGGAGTGATCCATGGTATATAAGAGAAGAGAGGTYTTTGGATGAAACCAAAATCAAAGTCGTGAACACTATGCCCAAAACGAATAATATTATAACATTGTGGAGGTACTCAGGATACAAAGATACCCTTGTCTTTAATAAGGCCAATGAAAAGAGAGACTTCACCGAGAAGAAGGAAAAGAAGAGTATTGTCACCTCATAGTCACAAAAATAATATAAAAGTTACCAAGTCAATCAGTTAAATAAGGGTTAAATGATCTAAGAGACCATTTAGAACTATTTTCCAAACTTTAAATATTGATTAAAATGTCTTTTTTAAACTTCAACTAAATAGGTAGTTTACTCACCTTTTAGAGACCAGACATACATAATTTACTCTATTAAATATATATTTATTATTTTATCTAAAACTTTTATATTTGTAAACGACTTTAGTTATTGCCTTTGCTAATTATGGTGATTGAAAATATCCAACTACCAAAACAGCAAATTATTGTCCTTTCCACGAGTAGCCGCCTCTAGAAATGGTCCAAGTTATAAGGTAACCACAAATATTCTAATATGATTCCGAAAAATATATATTGATAAACAACTAAAAAATAATTGTAAGTATAGCAAATTTTATCCAATTAAAGTTATTACCAATATATAGATTAACTATTTATAGGCTAATCAAATGATGGTAATACACACATACAGTCAATTAATAGGTAAGTCAGAAGTTAACATGAGGAACGCCAAAAGCGAAGGCAGCTCTCTGGATCCCTATCGATGTTGGGGTGCGAAAGCATGGGAGTGGACGGGATTAGGAATGTTTAAGCTGGAGGATAGAATAATGAAAGGATATTTTTTAGCCCCTAAATGCTATTATTACATATCAATAGAAAAGAGGAAAAACAGTTCTCAATACAGCTCAACTGGTTAAGACAGATATTTCCAACTAAGAGGTGGTGTATGTTCAAATTAAACCCTACGTCCTTCTTAAGAAAGGTCAACAAAACTCATATCTCCGAAACAAAATAACAATACTTAGGCATTAATTTTCTGGCCCACCCTAATTTTCGTGCTTATCACCGATAAAAAATTTTTAGTTTGTCTTTTTAAATATGAACACTAAAATTTTTTTACATTTTTCTCTGTTACTTGTCAAATATTTAATAGTGGTTAGCAAAAAATAGACGACGACTGAAACTACTAAGTCTGTCGAAACAAAATTGACTCTCACATACACCAATAATCCAACCACATTGTTGGGACCGTCTTTAATTGTGTGATTTAAATCCTTAGAACACCAATCTTCTTCCATTCTCCGCTATAAATTCACTCGAAATGCTGCAAATATTCTCATCCCATCTCCAACATTTTCTCCCTATTTTCCTTTCCATTAGTGTCTAAAATGAGCTCCAAGACCCTGATCTTCCTCGGTCTCCTTTTCGCGGTCGTCGTCCTCCTCTCCTCGGAGGAGGTCACGGCCACAGCAAGAGACCTGAAAAGCGGTAAGTTTTGTTTGACGATACCTTACAACGTCTTTATTCTTTGTTAGCTGAAATAGTGTCTTAACGTAGTTGAAGAAGTCATGACGGAGACCAATAACGGCATCGAGGATGACAAGCGCGGCCACCATGGGCACCACCACCACCACCGCCGTCGCCGTCATTGCCACCACCACCACTGCAGCTTTGCTGATGAGGATGAGGCTGTTGATGAAGAAGAGGCCCAAACCAAGCCTAACAACTAAACAACTGATGGTTTCAAATGAAGGCTCTCTGAAGTTGATGATGTTGTAATTTAATTAAGTGTGTGTGTGTAAGTTAATTATGAATAAAGGCATGGAAATGAATGGGATGCCTTTCTCTTGTTTGCCTGTGTAAAACCTGCCCAAATACAAAGGGTAATTGGTTTATTAATTAGTCTCTTCTGTGGAGATTAATTGTGTGTAGTTGAAACTTTAATATATATCTTTAATTTTCGTTCTTAATAACCTTCGTATGATCAATTCTCATGTCAAAATCCATGCAATTATGCGACGAAGCACACGGATTTTGACCTGGTCAAAAGTGTTTGGCTCGTAAGTTAAGTTTGCATAATTGGACTTATGGAGAGTTTAATCGTGTTCTATGTTAAAAGGGTATTTTTAATCTTTGGGAAAATATAAATTTGGTTTAAATATACTATTTGGGTCACTGTAAATTTTATTTTGGTCTGTGTATCTTCGAAACGTTCGTTTTAGGTCCCTATACTTCTAAATTTTATTCATTTTAGTACTTGTATTTTCAAAACATTCATTTTAGTTCATGTAGTTTTAAAAAGTTACTAATTTGATTTCTATTTGTAAAATTTTATATACAAAATTATCTTAAAGAATTTAGTGAATGAAATATCGTGTTAAAATTGCGATAGAAATAAAATGGAATAGAAATGAAAATGAATAAAGCAAAATGTCGCTTTTTAGAGGTAGAATGTTAAGGATCCCACATTAAAAATAAAATTGACCTAACAAGGTTTATAATAGACATGGACTATTCTTCTCATTGTCAATTGGTTTTGAGATTGAACACGCCATGAATTTTATTAATATGGTATTAAAATCCAAAACGCTCAAACGAGCATTAGGAATGCACCCCCTTCAAATAACCACAGAGAATGGTGGATATTCAAACTCACGGTTTGCCACTATATATTCTCGACCTCTTATTTTATTGTTGTAATGCCAGAACGAGTGACAAAATATTCTTATAATAATAAAAATATCACGTTGACGGTTGACCTAACTATAAGAAGAAATTAATACTGCAATGTCTTATCTTGCTTAAGATAAGATTGAAGAGAGAGCTGAATCTTCTTCATTGATTTTTCAGAATGATTCTGAATAAATCCAACTAACTTATGGGGCAGTCTTTAATTGCCATGTTTGAATTGTCGTAGCCATCTCATCTCTCTGCCAAATAAATAGATTCAGAAGAATGCAAAAAAACATCTCATTCCATCTCCAAATTACCAGTTTATCTAACAGTTTAAACAAAAATGAGTTCCAACTTCCAAGCCTTTTGCTTTCCTCGGTCTCGTCTTCGGTGGGCAGCGAGAGACCTCGTCCGGTCGTGCATGGAGGATGTCGCTGTTAAGTACGGTCAACGAGAACACGGTGGAGGCTACCCTAGCTGTGGTCGCTCTAGTGACATTCCTTGTTGCGGTAACTACTTGTGATAGTCATGTGGTGGCTACGGTGTGCTATGGTCGGTAGAATGGGTGTTACAGTTACATCGGTGTTAGATATCCAATATACACATTAAATTTACCTAACCCATCAGTTTAAGTTATTGGGTTGAATGGTGACTGTTCCATCTCAAAACAATTAGTAATAAGAGAAATAATCCATATCTATTATAAAGCGTCTCTTATCTTTCCAATGTGTGATTCTTAATATGCCCCCTCAAGATCATGGTTTTTTTTAAGCATCGATCATGGCTAGATCCCATTTTGGCCCCAACGTTCGTTTGAACATTTTGGACTCTGATACATATTAATATTCATGGTTACGTTCCATCTCAAAACTAATTGACAATGGGAGGAGTAGTACTTGTCTATTATAAACCTTTGTTAGATCTCTTATCTTGTAATGCGGGATCCTTGACAATAAAAAGTTTGAACAGTGTTTGTTCCTTAATAACCATTGAATGAAGATTCAAAGTCGATGTGTTGCTGATAATTATTCATTACAAGCCATAAACCAATTCAATTGAATTGTGGGGGACAGTCTTTTTATTGCCATTTAAATCCTTCGAACCTACCTTCTTTAACCACCCCAAATAAATACACTTGAAATGCTGCAAAACTTCTCATCCCATCTCCAACTTTCTCCATATGGTTTCTTTTCAAAAGAAAATGAGTTCCAAGCCTTTCATCTTGCTCGGTCTCCTTTTCGCCCTCTTCGTCCTCCTCTCCTCGAAGGAGGTTACCGCTACCGCAAGAGACTTAAAAAAGCAGTAAATTTCATTTCCATTCCTCAATTAGATATGGTATATAACATGGTCTAATCTTTACTTTTACTAATATTGTTGTTGACTCTAACTATAAAATATAATGCAGCAGAAGAAGCCACGATGAAAACCAATGAAGTTGACGATGTCAAACGCCGTGGTTTCAGCGGAGGCCGAGTTCGTTTCGGTGGCGGAGGCCACCATGGGCACAGCCCTTGCCACCACGGTTGCTGTCACCACCACCACAGCGGTTGCAGCCGGTGCTGCAGCTTCGCTGGTGAGGCTGTTGATGCAGAACCCCAAGCCAAGCCTAACAACTGAACACAAAATGTTGCTTCAAATTAATGGCCATCTGAAGTTGATGTGTGTTGTGACTAAGTGTTTTAAGTTCTGAATAAATGCATCATTGGCTGGGGATGCCCTGCCCAAGTACAAGTTTCTTCTGTTGAGATTAATCACTGGTTTGTCGTCGTAATTAAAGCTTTTCTTAGATAACTCTTTTGTCGTAATTAAAGCTTTTCTTAGATAACTCCTTAGATAACTCCTTTTTCTTTTTGAGTTTAACACGTAGGTACTTTGGTAAGAGAATCTGGATAGAAAATATATATCATAACTAGTTGAACTACGCTCACATTGACATTTTATCATACAACTTAATCACTATATAATTCATTGTTTCTCAACTTAATCACTATATAATTCATTGTTTCATGAGAAACTATTGTTCCTTAAAATTCATCTTTTGTCGAATTCATGTTGACGTGACAAGCTGATCAATATAGTATCTAAATAMCAAAATGTATGATATTTTTTAATCTCTCTCGTCTTGGGACCAAAAAATATTGATTATAGAAATTGCTAATACTATTTAAACAAAGTATCCACATATATTTTCCATCCTAATAGCAACTGATTACAATTATCGAAGAACCAAGGGATAAAATAGTAAACTTCTCCCTTTCCCAAGTTATTATTGTATGATATAATCATCGTTCAAAAAAAAAAATATTGCCTAACCAACAAAATTTTCTAGTCCAAAATTTCCAGAAAATGAAAATGAATATACAGGACCCTACTATTTCCTCAAGGAGGGTAATATGAGCATATAAAACTGGGCTCTCCTGAAACCATTACCAAACAGTTCAATAATAAGCTAAACTGTAACCATTTTTTCTTTTCTGTGTAAATAAATTAATTTAATCAAAAGCCAAGAGAAAAAAATGCTGACTTGCTTTTCTGGGTAGGTCTCTATTAAGATTTTCCATTTTTAACTGCTGAAGACTGTTCCTGAGAAGCTTCCTCATTTTGACCTGAAGCAGAGTCCTCCATTGCCAAAGCAGAGATCTGGTCAGCCAAGGACAACTCGTTGGTTCCATCCGGAGCGTTAGCGTCGTTCAAGGTTAACAGCTCGGACTCCCCTGCTTGTTGCAGCAGGCTCCAGTACATGATGCTTGCAGTCAATATAAGGATCATCTTTTGGTTCACCTATCAAAAGTTGGTGTGGAAGAACAAGAATTTAGTTGAGTTTGAATGCCAACTTAGAAATAATCAGCAGTTGTTTTGAAAGATAAGGCAAATCTGAGGGAATATAAGTAATCAAGTTGCAGCAAGAAAATTTAATTTGCAACTCACTTCAATAATATCTTCAGGAAGCAAGAAAATGGAGCAGCCGAGCTTTCGGGCGACACTGATTATATATGTTGCATTCAACTTCTTGTCTTCCTCTGCAATTCAACGATCAGAATCTTCAGATCATTTATGTCATTCGGTCTAATTTACACCCAACTCCCTGCCCCCACAAATTTTCTTTTCTATATCTGTTAGTATCTGGGCCAACCAACTAGAACTTACATCGACTAATCTTACACTACGTAACTCTGCTACCTCTGCTACCTTTAGTTGCCAAAGAAACTCATAGGATTTTAAATAGATGGTCACTATGGTTTAAACTCACTCCCTCTTAGTTTTTTCATTGGCTCTAATGACCAGGCCAACCCACGGTGGTTCTCACCCGCAAAATTTGAAACAATCCCAAATGAAAAAGAAACTTTTAGGAAAGAGGAGATAAAGTCTCACCAGTTTCTCCTTTTGTAACAACAGCCCAATTCACCACCCTTGGCTCCACAGAACTAAGAAGCTCAAGGAAGAAGATACCATTTGAAAGGTTCTTATCCTGAAACCAGAAGTTATAATAATATCATCCACGTGAAACAATAAACTAAGTCGGGGCAGTAAAATTGGTGAACTTTCTTCACTTGTTTACCTTGAAGCTCTCCATTTGGGAGGTTCTACCGGCTTTCTTCACTTTGTTGTTTGCCCAGTTCAGGATATCAGCATCTGTAATCTCTTTGCCCTCTTTACCTTGAGAGTGGGATCTCAGGTTTCTCAACAGTTGAAGCATGCTAAACCTCATCAGTTGCCATAAAAATGCTGTTCAAAAAGAATGTAATTGTCTTTACATCTTGGTTTCTCTTCCATTAAAAAGTAGGATTTTGGATCAACAGTGACTAGGTAGTAAAATCATGGTATGATCTACCTTCTAGTCTTGCCATCTTCAAGAAATAAAACACATCAAAGTTAAAAGAAGACATCTGTCTTTTCCTAATGATTAATATAATATCTGTGTTGCAAGACCTAAAGTTCATACTATATAAAACAAGTGCATGCATAAGAACCAATGATCTTCATTCTTTTCCTGAACACATACATTAATCTCCCAACACAACCGTACCATCTGACTCTACAACATTTAGATGTTAGGAAGCTTGTAGGATTTTACGATGGAATTCAAATTCATTTTGTCAAAGTCCCTTTACTTCCCCATGGTAGATTTTTCAAAATATACTTTCTGTCTATTAAGCTTTCCACCAGCAATCGATAAATCAAATAAACCATAAACACCACATTATAACATCTCCTATAAAAATCGAACTTGAACATCAATGAAAATTATAAATGAATGGGAAGGACAAACTAAAGAAAAGGGGAGATTTTTAACTTACCTAGTATGAGCTTCTTGTTTCCCTGCACAATATCATTACCAGCTACGTTTACAAGAGAAAAATTTAACTCCTTCCCAAGTTTTATTACTTGGTTGCAATTCTCGACTTTTCTAAATGGCATCTTGATAGGAGGCTTCGTTGCTTGTTTCCAGACTACGGATCCAGGAGAAACTTTGTCAAGAACTTCCAAAAGAACCCATCTGCAGTATGGACTTCATAACTCAAGCTTGTCCACAAAAAGGAGGATATACAGGTAATTGACAGGTTGCAGTAAGAATGAAAACAATACCCGTTTCTGACATCTTCAAAAACATTGTTGACATATGTGGGTATGCCAAGACTGTTAATCCACAACCGGAAGCACCGTTCTTCCCGAGAAGTTTGGGCATCATCAGTCATCATTTCTGCAAATGACATTTTCGAAGTATCGGCAGACAACCCATTCCTGCATTACAAGTTTGCAATTCAGGTTAGAGACATTTGGCTATGTGGCATCAGATATTTTGAAAATTAATGAAACCTACTGCTATAGACAACTAGGCAACAATATCAGTTGATCAGCAAGATCAACTTTATGATGAATTTCAATCTTTCCTTCATCTTAAAACTTGTAGAAAAATAATGGAATGACAATTGAAGGGTTAGGAATAGAGATAAGCGCCCAAATTCAACTACACCATTAACTCAAAATCATGTGGGCCTCCAACTCGAGTTTCCGAACATCTCATGAATTTCTTGGCTGTCAAGCATCATAGCATAGCACTAGCTCTCTTTTTAATGTGATGTACACATTAAGATTGAAAAGGGCATACCCATATTTTATGAGGTACGCACCTTACAAAAGGATTTTAGAACGAACGATCTAGCATGGATCCCTGAGCACTAGAATGAAGCTTTAAATGGTTGAGTCTAAAACATACATACAGAGTAAAATGGAGATTCTCACCTGTGCTGGAAAATTTGTGCAACAAATGCAAGATTCAAATTAGGTGAACCCTCAACAATGTCCTTGGGAGTTAGATATCTTTTACAATCCAATTTCTCTGCATGCTCAAGAACCATATTTGCTCTTTCAGTAGGATCTTTAACATTCAAAGTCCCAGGACCAGAGAACTCTGGCGCAAGAGCATTAAGCAGATAAGCATATGCTTCCCCATCCTGAAAATGGAAAAAATTAATTACCTCTTCAAAATCACAAGCTTCAAATTTTTACCTGTCTTATTTCTCTTGTTAATAATGTAGGAATGGAATCAAACAGAGATTTTAAGGTGGTTACATAATATGGGGTTCTGAGTTCCAGTTCTTTTAAGTACTTAAATGAGTTAATCACACAGGACATAATTTTAATATATTCTCCTCCACTGGCTTCGGACTCGAATTAAAACCATGTTTGCAGAGTTCACATTTCACGTGGAAACTAGAGCCAGAAATTGCAGGTAACTAATTCCCTCTCATAAAGACAATAATGGATCTAACTAAGTTCAGATGATCAAACATCTAGTGTCCCTTATGAAGTGAAATGAAAAAGAACTGAATGGAACAAAACTTTCATAATCAAGAATCAAATCGCTCTCGAAACTACTATATCATGAGTCAATTTAAGTTTTCCGTGCAATAAATACAACTGGTGGGAATCTTCTAACCTTCACATCTGATGAAAAGTTTGTGACTTGTTTCTCATAGCCAGCTTTTTTCAGATGAAAGTTCATCCACTTGAGTAAAACCTTCTCTGGTGCTAACCCAATGAGTTCTTCCACTTCCTGCAAGGTCATAGATAATATTTGTAAGAATAGTTGCATACATCCATCATCCTAGACAATATCTTCATCAACAAAATTTAATCATTTTTTTCAATAGGAGTTAGGGCCAAAAGATCTTCGCCATTAAACATTAACAAAAAAAAGGGAAAATATATATTTAACCTTGCTATCATCCACCAGTTCCACAAGTTGGGGAGTTTTCTTCAGATTGAGATCAGCCAACAGTTGAATCTACAATCACGGCACATTAAAAGAGACAAATAAAGCCAGTTCCTAATAGTGAAGACCTCGGCAAATCAGGGAGTCAAATCTTTTTACTGTCTATGTCCTAAGATCGAAAAGATGCAAAAAGTAAAATGAATAATATCAATATGTTAATACCTTAATTATTTGTGATATCAATCCAAGTAACAGATGCGGCTAGAGAATGGAAAGAAGGAGCAAAATTAGAAAACTTTACTAGAAATTTAATTAAACAAATATATATGTTAATATGCAGATCCCAATAGGTGGCCAGATAGGTAGTTTTAACGCACTCTAGCTTCAACCAAGTCTTGTGTGCCAATATTAACCACCGTGCAGCCAATAGCTTTTGCAGAGTTAAGGCCGAGAGTGTGGTTTTCGTTCCTCTCCCATGGATTAAGGACCTTTTTCGTATTAATTGCTCGCTCGTCTATGGTCCCTGGAACAGCTACATTGATAAGCTTGCTGCACAAGGCAACCAATAGCATAAACAAAGATTGTTACCATCCATCAATACAGAGTTAAACATTGATTGAGATGTCTAAATTCAAGTTGTTCCAACTACCAGAGAAGAACACCGTCTTTCGCAAGGTCAAACAAATCATTGGTAGTTGGATCTAGAGGAAGATAATTCTTCAGAAATGGATCTTCAGCCAGAAAACTGTTTATGTGTCCGACATAAGATGCCTTCTCAGATTCGTTAATTGCATGATGAAACGTAGTTGTGGCAGCCTTGAGGAATGAAGAAGGATTTTTTGATCCGCCTGATTTAGCTGTTGCTCTGGCTTGTAAATCTAAATATGTCTACAGTAATGGATCTTATAAGTTCAACCACTTCAATATTACTTCATATGCTTGTAGAAAAGAAAATCGGCTTTCCCAGAGGGAAAAAAATGGTTAATGTTCAACATATACAAGAAGCAATCCAAGTCCAATCATAAACAGACTCACCCGAAGGAAGGACTCAAAATCTAATTCCTCACCCACGTCTCTACTTGTTTCCTTCAAGAAATCTTTAATCTCATCCTCAGTAAACAGTTCGCTGAAAGCTTTCAATTTCACGAAGACAGGAGGCAAATCTCCCACGGTTACCCGGCCAGATAGACTCCTTACAGAAACATACTAAATCCAACAAAAACATTTCTCATATCAACAGAAAATAATTCACAATTTACCACAAAAGTATCTAAAAAATGGAGGTCGAGTAATCAAAAAACTTGGATGCTTACTCTGGATTTGAGAGTGCGAAGCTCCACTTGGGTGAATTGACTTTGAAGCCATGGATCAGAAACAAGAACACCTACAAAGCTTGACATCTTCGCCTTTCTTTTTGCACAATCTCTCAACACCAAAAAAAAAAAATCCTAACTACTGAAACAATTAACTTCCGATTATTAAACAGATAACGGCGATATCAGTGGAAGACAATCATGAGACAAACAGAAAACTATATCAATATCGTAAACACGGAAGACAATCATAGATGAAACGATAGATCCCACGAAACGAAAAATCAACAAAAACCCAATTGAAAATGCAGAGTTTACACCCAATTCAACATGCATGAGTGTCCAAACACAAGTATTGGGGATTCATCCAACAGTGTAAAATCAACAAATTAGAGGGAAATAACGAAAACCCAGAAAGGAAAAACAATATAGAAAGTGCATAAGAAATCAAAAGACATCGTACCTACAGAAAACTTAGAAAATTGAAGTGGAGCTAATTAATCAAAAAGGCAATCTCTTGGTGAAGTTGAAGGGTGTGAAGAAAGAGATGTAAGGGGCAAAGAGAGGATGAAGGGTAAAGGATGTGTGAAGCGAATGGAATAGGGACAGGAATAGGCGAGGAAAACGAGAGAAAATCGTGCTTGTTTTGAGGAACTGCTGAGACCCAGAAAACGGGGAGCCACTGAAAAGCTTTAAATAACAAATAATATGTGATTTATAGAACACCCTTTTCTTTCTTTCATGCCACCATTCTGTTTATAAAGAAAGACTGAGAAAATTAAAATTATAAAAATCATCGCTTTCTTTCACTCTCTTTTCTGATTCTATTAAAGAATTACTTAATCATTACGCAATCTTTCCTTCAAGAGTCTTTAATTTCCATTAATCAATGCATGAATGGCTTGCCTTAAATGTTCAACACAGAAATTTACTACAAAAATTGAAAAAGTCTCCCTTCTTTTGTTTACTCTATTATATTTTTAGTCTATATTCATCTTCAAAGTATCATTAATTATTGAATACGAATGATAAATTTATTAAAACAGAGAGGCATAGAAAATGAAGGGGGATTTTTTATACTTTTCTTTGAAGGAAAGATCTAACTTTAAACTTGGGTTTTCAAAAACTTAATAAACTGTGCTAGATTTGTGATGAATGAGATTTGATCAAATTACATTGAGTTTCTCTATTTGCCCCTTTTTTTTTAATTATTATTTGGAAAATTGGTGTGGAGGGGACTTGGAAATGAGCCCAACATATCTTTTGGGTTTGGACAGGACAGAATACCAAACATGGAAACATTTTAGGCCCATAGTTGTCTTCACCTGTCTGTCTTAAATGCCATTGCTTTGTCCAATCCATTGATTCAATTTGCTAACTTTGGGTCATATTTATTTGGAGGGGAATCATTCTTCTATGGTCTTGTTACCCTTTTTTTTCTTTTTTTTTGGGTAAAATACATTTTTGATTCCTGAAGTTTGGCTTTGAATTCTATTTGGTTCTTGAATTAAAAAAATCATCACTTTTAGTCGTTGAAATTTAAATTTAGTTTTTATTTGGTTCTTAAGTTTCAAAAGTGATATGTTTGGTTCCTGTTAGTCCTCGAGTTGAGCTAATGGTTAAAGATCTAATGAAATGATGACGTAGCAACTAACATTTGTTGACTAGATAGCGAGATATCTTAATGTCTTAGTAGAAATGTAGATGAATCTAGTTGGTTATCGAAAAACTTACTAATTTGCATTGTAATTTAGAACCTAGTTAATTTGAATGTCAAACTCGAGATGAAGAAAGAGGAAGAGATGTGATGTGTCGAAAGAGCGGAAGAAATGAAGGAGAAGAGAAGGGATGGAGGAAGAGGACAGAAAAATGTTAGTTAGGTCGGGGAGAATGAAGACGAATAAAATTTGTCAACTCATTTTAAAAATGCACATCCCTAAAGTCTAGTCAACATATATTATCTACCACATCATCATTTTAAAGTCAACTAAGGATCAAAAACTTAACTTAAGGACTAATTATAAACTAAATTCAAATCCGATGAACTAATTAAAAACTAAATTCAAACTCTTTTGAAACTTGAAGGACAAAATCGAAACTACATTTAAATCTTAAGGACAAAAATGACAATTTATTAAATTCTAATACCAAATAAAAGTTTAGTCCAAACCCCATCAAACATTTTATCGTAACGATCATCTTGCAATGCAAATTATGAATTTTTAATAAATATAATTTTTTGAAGAAATTATTTCACAATATTTTGATAACTGTTTCCTTGTTGATTACTAAAACTTGGTAAATCAGAAATTGCATCCACCAAATAAATTGCATTGGATGATTTCTTAATCACCCATTTAATTCACAATTTATAAGCATAAGTTTATCGGATTAAATTTTTGTATTTTTCTTTTATTTATTTATTTATTATTATTATTTTTTTTTAATAGCACTTTCATTACAAATCAACCATGTGGGCAAGTTTATTAGACTTAGCAAATGACACTAGATAAGAATGGTAGTGAGAAATCTAGAAAACTGTACGTGGAAAAACTACTTCATAACTTTGGCCACCATACCGTGGCCTAACTTTCATGCTTCGATTTACATGCACGAAAAAAATTCTTTCGAAACAAACAAAAGAGAGCTCTAATGTTTTCTATAATTGTTACTGTCTCATTCGACATCTCTAACTCTTCATTTAGGATTTCCACTATTCGGAAACTATTTGATTCAACCGAAATTTGTCGAATGCCCAAATGACTTGTTAATCGGATTTTTTTCTTTATCGCAAGACATTCAATAATCAACAGTTGATGGAGATTAAATAAGCCCAAATCATTCTAACTTTCAAATCGTCGTGTTAATAATCTTAGAATCACCTCGATTTCTATCCATTTACTTCATTTTTTGGATGCATCAGTCATATTCATCTTTACCCAATTCTCCTAGAAACTCGAAAATTATCTTCCTTAAAAGGAGTCTTAATACGAGGTTTGAGCACCTCTTCCAAGTACGACGAAATATATTCACATTATATAAGCATTGGATTTCAGATATTTGATTTTCGTACCTACTATATTTCAATCATTAATTCTACTATAGGGCCCAACTAACGACTTAAACTCATGTATTATGTGAGAATAGCATATTTGTGTAATATGTAGTAGAATAAGGTTTGAATATGGATTGTCATAGGTACTTTAACCACTTGAGTTAATACTCGAATTGAGAAACAAATATATAGATCCACCATAGAAATCTCATGTTACACAGACCTAATTCTCGTGAATCAAACTTTCGGTAAAATGTTTCACATCAACACCTACTTAATTTGTTCTCTCTTTTATTAAGCAATTCATTTTAGTAAAAAAAAATTCCTCATATTCTTTCAGCATGTCTCACAATCCCTACTTAATTTTTAATTACCTAACTCTTCATTTTATTTTCCATGTTCTTTTTAGAGAAAAAAACAATAATTTATTAAGGAAAATTATACTAAATATGTATTTATATAAAAAAAAAAGTAAATTATTATGGTCCATTTTACCCCTTTCATTTTATTTTGCTCTTTTAACATTTTGTTTCATTCTTTTTGTTGGCGAGTTTCCAATCCCTTCGTGATTTCACATTTCTATGTTAAAAGCGACTAGAAGCTATATATGGGTGGAATGGTTAAAGTGCTCAACTCATAATTGACAAATTCATAGGTTCAATTCCTATTGGATGCCAGGTAATGGGACCCTCCAATAAGTCAGATTAATGTCAATCGTCATTAATTACAACTCTAGAATCTTGAAATGTCCCAAGGTTTCAGGCTCGAGTGAGTTCACGCCATTGGTGCTAGAAATAGGAGAATCGATTTTCCTACCTATCAAAATCCATCAATCAAGCGAGTGACCCTCCTAGAGAATATTGGGGTAGGATTTTGATATCCAGGTAACAAAAAAGAAATTTGAACCTCTAATTTTTTTTTTTAATCAAATACAAGAACTGGTATATTTGAAGGTAAGCTGTGGAAGTGCTTCACATTATGAGATTGTTGGTATATTGAAACATTGAACTGTTAAGATAAAATTCCTTCGCCATCATAATTTATAGACCAAAGAGTAGGAATTCTCATGCACAAATCCAACAACATATATGTTCACAAAAAAATGGAGCTTCACATCAAAAACAGAACAAAATGCCAATATAGTTTTCTTAAATGTAACAAATGGGTGGCAGGGATTTCTGATCACAATCAAAACAAAAATCCAGCTGATATTGCCAAAACAATGTGAATCAAAACCCCCCAACTGATGATCTTATGGGAAGATGATGGCTTTGGTCCCGAAGATGGAGCAACCTTTCCCTCGTGATCAGCCGAAGGCGCATCTGCAGGGGGAGTGACGTCGGGGGCCGGTGCTGGAGCCGGGGTCGGTGGGATATCGGTTCCGAAGATCGCCTCAGGCAGCAGAATTTTGTCGACTTGGTAAACTGCAACAGGGTCACTTGAATGCACACTGCTACTCACCTTTGTGTTGGTCCAACCTGAGCCGATGTGAATGGTCCCTGAAACGTCTGTGAAGTTCAAACTGTATTGTCCACCAGCGAATGTTGCAATAGGATTCTGCAGGCTGAGGTTCCTGAATTCAGCAAGGGAATAGTAATGTGGCAAGCCATGAAACAGGATGAGAGACTTGAGCTGATCCTCGGTGAGATTCGAGAGAGACGGTTTCTTTTGTGCCGAGAAGGCGCTATCTTTCGGGACAAAGATGGTCACTCCTTCTTCTGTGTTATTGGCTTGGTTTTGGAAGGTGTCAATCACTTTGGTGGACTGGAGGTAGCTGAGGAAGGTGTGAAATGGACCAGCAACAGTGAGCAGATCTGTGAGGTTGACAAAATCCGGGGCAGGCGCCGGTGCAGGAGTCGGGCTGAGTGAGGGGGGGCTGGCTGTTTGGGCATCTGCAGCTGAAGAGCTCAGAAGCAACAATGCACTACAAACAGTGAAAATCATGGAAAATTCCATTTTCCACAATTTCCTGCAGAGAAAAAATCTGCCCAGCATCAGATCTTAGCCATCTTAACGAGTTATAAATTACACTGTGAACAGATATGCTTCACAAAGTTCACAGCGACATTTTCACAAACACTCAAAATACACTTGTACAAGTTTCAACAAAACGTATAGCCTAAGCGCATACAATTCACGAAATTGACCAAATCTCGTCCAGAAACTCTGTAATTCAAGTATCAGTTCCCAAATGCCAGATCTCACCAGCTCACTAACCAACTAAAACAGAGCAAAAATTTGCAGCAAAAGGAACAAGAAACATCATAATCAAAGATCTAGCAGAGCAAATCAAACAGTAAAACTTGAAACAGAAAAATTCAAAGACATACAAACAGCATCAAGTCCCCCCTTCAGCTACACACATTCTTCAAAATGAGAACTTCCCCACCCCACCAAACCCAATTCAACAAATGCCATGAGAAGAAAACAAAAACTAAGAAAGACCCAGATCTAGATCAGCATAGTAGAAATGATAGCAGCCATAACTAAGAAAACCCATAAAGAAGAAAAAAAAAAGGCACAGAGACAAGACAATGAGAGGGGAAGAATGAGGGACACTGACCAGCCAGCCAAGAGAGAAGCTCTGACAGAGAAATAATTGGGAGAGATGAGTAATAGAAATAAAGATTGGAAATTTGGAGCAAGTATTTAAAGAAATGGAGGAGAAAAGGCAAATGGGGGTGGTTTGAAGGAAGGTAATTGGGTCTCATAAACAAGTGAAGAAGATGGGATCTTAATTCCATACACATAAAAAAAGCATACTTTATTGGGAAGGCTTTTTCTTAAGAAGTGGGGCATGTAGGGTAGGCTTTCTTAATCACATTTGAACTAATTTTTTTTTCTTTTTTTCTTTTTTTCCCTTTTTCCTTCCACAACACCAACCTTGCACTCTACCCCATCACTCCATTATTTCCCTCATTTTTTTCCCTTTCTCTTCCAAATTTTGGTGTACAATATGTTTTTTATTTCCTTTAATGTAAAATAAAGTATGTTTGTTACTTGTTACATCGATTTGTGTCATCGGTAAACACTAACAAAAAAAAATTTAACGCAACAAGTTATTTCTTGAATATTATAAATGATTTGTGTGATATAACATTTGTTTTAAAACGCAAGAAAAAAGAAAAATGGTTAGAGTTTAATTGATATTGTATTTTGCTTATTTTTTACTGAACGTGAATGACATTTGTATATACCAATTTAACTTAAAATGTAGCATGTCATACATACAATTCTTTAGAATTTTATTAGTATGACTCCCTTGTAAATCTTTTAGTCAAAGTTTATAATTATTCTTAAAAAGAAATTCGATGTTATTTATTTATTATTATTATTTTTGGTGTATGAAGTGTGGGTTTTCATTTGAATATTATTTAAAGGAGGTGAAGATAGGGAGTTAATGCTTTGATAAATTTATTCACGAATGACTCGTGCCCTCCCTTGTGGTAAATATATATATATATATATATATATTGGAAAAGTGTGGTAAAAATATAATAAAAAAAAGACCAACGAGATTTTAATCAAAATATCGCTAGAGG